GCCCAATATATATGGGGCTCCATCCCGGGACCCTGAGATCATGACTTGAGCCGAAATCAAGACTCGGCTGTTTAACTGACTCAGCCATCCAGGTGTCTCCCCTATCTTCTGTTTTATCTGGTCTTGGTTTCTCCTCGTTTGTACTTACAGAGTCATTTGTGTACCTACTTTTTTTTTAAGATTTTGTTTTTTTATTTTACAGAGAGGGAGGGCGCACGTGCAGGGGGAGGGGCAGAAGGAGAGGGAAAAAATCTCAAGGGGACTCCATACTGAGCACAGATCCAGTGAGGGGCTTAATCTCAGGATCCCGAGATCATGACCTGAGCTGAAACCAAGAGTCAGATGCTCAAATGACTGTGCCACCCAGGCGCCCCATGTACCTACTTTTTTTTTCTTTTTTAAATTTGACACAGAGACAGCAAGAGCAGGAACACACAAGCAGGGGGAGTGGGAGAGGGAGAAGCAGGCTTCCCCGGGGAGCAGGGAGCCCAATGCAGGGATCTATCCCAGGACCCTGGGATCATGACCTGAACTGAAGGCAGATGCCCAACTGAGCCGCCCAGGCGCCGCTCACCCCCCATGTACCTACTTTTAAGAAATCACATCTGGTTTCTTTATCTGCCACATAGTAGGTCCTTAGTAATTACCTTAAAGAACAAATGGGTGAGTGAATTTCCTTTAGGACGTCCCTGGGCCTCAGTTTCCCCTTGCTAGAGGATGTATCTGGCCAAGCCTGTTATCCCAGGGAGGACATTGTCCGGGGCCCCTTTGTTATCCCATGTACCCAGGAGCTCAGGGAACCCCTTTCAGGGTGAGTCTGGAGTTGGGGGATGTCCCTGCCACGCTTGCTGGCTGCTTGCTGGCTGGTCCTGTGGCGCCTCTGCGTTTGGTGAACAGGCACAGGTTGGAAACAGCCCCCAGGAAATGGGAGCGCGCTTCCTAGAGGTCTGTGCCACTTGGCTTCCTGGCAGAGGAAGGAGCGTTCCCTTCATCCTGGCGTGGAGCCTGGTCCATCTGCTTCAGGAAGGGTCTGGTTGCTCTGTTGAGCTGCCCTGTGAGAGGTGGGGGAGCTTGGGGCTGCCAGCCCTGGGGGGGATGGGGAAGGCTTCAGGGGCAGGGAGAGGACACAGATTTCAGGCAGGAAGCTCTAGGGAGAGGGCTCTTTGCAGTTTGTGAAACCCAAGCAGTTTTGCAGAAAGGGCCCCTCACTACCCGCCCCCCTCAAATGGCGCCCTTAGCTGTCCCTCCCTTGCAGAGGGCTGGTGGGGACCAAATGCCCCAGGCAGAATGTTCAGCCATACTTGGTGTGGGATAAGTGCTCAGCTAACTGCTGTTGTTAGGCAAACCATTGTCTTTGTAGGATTTTTTTCTCCTGGGCAGAGTGTTGATGGGTTTCATCAGATCATTATGGAGCCTGTGACCTTGTAGGGTCTGTGGCCCCAGATCCATTAGAACCCTGGCTTGGACTCTGTAGGGGTTAGAGGTGGAAGACTTCCCCCTCCACCCCGGCCCCCCGCCCTCATGCCTGACAGATGGCTGGCTTGGCTCTCAGGCCTCGCTGGAGACCCGAGACACTGAGGTCTGGGTCCTCTTTTCTGAGACTGGGACACATTTGCCCCTCTAGCATAGAGGCTGTCGTCTCCGCCCTGCCGCCTCAAGGCCCTGGCCAGACGCCAGCTTGTCAAGGAGACTGATTAAAAGCAGCTTTGCTGGGGGCAGATGGCTTGGTGTCCTTGGCCTGGAGTGAAGATCGATAAGCAATTGTTTTTTTCTTGGCAAGAAAAAAATTCTCCATTAACTTTCTCAGGTGCTGCCAGACTAGTTTTCTTTTCAGGAACTCTGCAGCCCTGTCAGAGGTGGCTGTGGGAGGAGGACAGGCCACTGGAGCTGCCCCCTCTTGCCCTGGGGGCGGCAGGCCCCTGTAGCCAGAGTGATGGAACCCACAGGAGAGTAGGTTGGCTGGCTTGGATATCAGTACCTCATAGGAACATTCTGGAACCCAGCCTGGCACGTAGTAGGCATTCGATAGGTAATTATTGAAAAAATAGCTTTTTGAGCATGTGACCATGTACGAGACATGACACTGTGTGCTTAGCTTATTTAATCCTCATGGCTGTCGGGTGACTGCCCATTTTATAGATAAAAAAAACTGAGGCCGGGGAAAGCTAAGTCATTTGTATGTGGCCAGTCCAAGCAATGGAGCTTCAAGGGCCCTGTTTTTCCTTTCCTGGAGGATGCATAGCATAATAAGCTGGGCCACAGAGAACCTTAAACTTGGGTTGGATTCTTTCAGTGATCCGGACGGGCAGCCAGGAACACAGTTAATGATTTCTTTCTCAGACACGGTAAGGGTGGGATAGAGGAATAGGAGTGGGACCAGCTGCCTCCTCCTCCTCCTGCCTCAGCCCTCTAGGTTTATTATCCTAACTCCTACCAGGGTTACAGTTACCTTCTTTCTTTAAAGAATTCATTTCTGGGGGCACCTGGTCAGCTCATTTGGTAGAGTGTACGGTTCTTGATGTCAGGGTTGTGAGTTCGAGCCCCACGTTGAGTGTAGAGATGACTTTTTTTTTTTTTAAGATTTTATTTATATATTTGACAGTCAGAGATCACAAGTAGGCAGAGAAGCAGGCCAAGAGAGAGGAGGAAGCAGGCTCCCTGCTGAGCAGAGAGCCCAATGCGGGGGGCTCGATCCCAGCACCCTGGGATCATGACCCGAGCTGAAGGCAGAGGCTTTAAGCCACTGAGCCACCCAGGCGCCCCTAGAGATGACTTTAAAATAAATTTTTTAGGGGCACCTTGGTGGCTTAGTGGATTAAAGTCTTCGGCTCAATCGAGCCCCGCATCGGGCTCTCTGTTCAGCGGTGAGCCTGCTTCCCCTTCTCTCTCTCTGCCTGCCTCTCTGCCTACTTGTGATCTTTGTCTGTCAAATAAATAAAATCTTAAAAAAAAAAAAAGATTTTATCTATTTGACAAAAGGGGGGAGTGCGCGTACGTGAGCGCGCGCGCGCGCACACGCAGGAACACATGGAGGTGAAGACTCCCCACTGAGCAGGGAGCCCGACAGGGGGTGCGATGCCCCAAAAGTAAAATACTAAAAAAAAAGGGGCTCCTGGGTGGCTCAGTGGGGTTAAAGCCTCTGCCTTGCGCTCAGGTCATGATCCCAGGGTCCTTGGGATCGAGCCCCGCATCAGGCTCTCTGCTTAGCAGGGAGCTTGCTTCCCCCCTCTCTCTTTGCCTGCTGCTCTGCCTACTTGTGATCTCTGTCAAATTAAAAAAAAAAAAAAGAGTTCATGGGGCGCCTGGGTGGCTCAGTTGGTTAAGCAACTGCCTTTGGCTCAAGTCATGATCCAGGAGTTCCAGGATTGATGAGTCCCACATCCAGCTCCCTGCTCCGGGGGAGTCTGCTTCTCCCTCGGACCCGCCCCACATTCATGCTCTCGCTCTCTCAAATAAATAGATAAAACCTTTTTTTTTTTTTAATTTTTTTTATTTTTATTTTTATTTTTTTAGGATTTTTATTTATTTGACAGACAGATCACAAGTAGGCAGAGAGGCAGGCAGAGAGAGAGAGGAGGAGGAGGCAGGCTCCCTGCTGAGCAGAGAGCCCGATGTGAGGCTCGATCCCAGGACCCTGAGATCATGACCTGAGCCGAAGGCAGAGGCTTTAACCCCTGGGCCCCCCCGGCCCCCCCCCCCCCCTTTTTTTTTTAATAAAAGAGTTCATTTCTGAAGAATTACTATTTGCACATGGTACCCAGTAGAATGTTAGTCCTTCCCACCCTGTCTGCCTACTTCTGCAAACCACTTGTTTTCTCTGGAGGCCCCTGTTAACCGTTTTCTTGAATACCTTTTTGGAAATAAGCTGTTGCATGTACAGTTTTTTTTCACATATAGGGCCTATTTCCCCCTACGCCAAAACAGCAACATACTAATGCTTTGGTTTTTTCCATATGACAGCGTGTCTTAGAGCGAATTCATACTGGATTGTGTAGGGTCAACTGAATGCTTGATTTTCTCCTGGAGTACATGCATAATCTTATTTACTCAGTCCCCTGTGGATGGTCATTTCAAACCATACTACCAGAATACATCATTTTTCACATGTGTGAGGTTGTCTGTAGGATGAAATCTCAGGTGTGGAATTGCTAAGTCAAGGGTATGTGCTTTGGAATTTCGTTAGATATCAGTGACTTTCCTTTCATGAGGATGGTAAATTCAGACTCCCCATAGCCTCACCAAAATAGTGCTATGGTTATACTTTTTGTCGCTGCCAACCTGATAGTTGAAAAAGTAGTAATTCCTAATAGTTTTATTATTATTATGTTAGTTTTGGTAAAATATACATAACACAAAATTTACCACTTTCACCATTTAGTGGCATTAATGACGTTCACAGTGTTGTTCACCTGTCACCATTATCTGTTTTTCGGGACTTTTTCATCACTCCAGACTGAACTCTGTGCCCCTTAAACCGTGATTCCCTGGTCCCCTCTCCCCCAGTCCCTGGCCAGCCTCTCTCTTCTGTCTGTATGATGTTGTCTGTTCTAGGTCCTGACTCATACCATTGTAGCATCCAGTATTTGTCCTTTAACATCTGGCTTGTTTCACTTAGCATGTTTGCAGAGTTCATCCATGGTGTAGCATGTGTTGAAACTTTATTCCTTTTTATGGCTTATTAATAGTCCATTATATGGGTAGAACACATTCTTTTAGCCATTCACAGTTGATGGACACTTGAATTGTTTCCACGTTCTGACTGAACGGTGCTGTCAGGAGCAAGGGTGTATATGTATCCATTTGGATCCTAACTTCATTCTTTTGGGTACGTACCTGGGAGAGCACGTGCTGGATCCTGTGGTCATTCACTGCAGTTAGTTTTTGGAGGACCCACCAGACCATTTCATTGTAATTCAAACTTGCCTTTCTCTTACTGTAGCTAAGGCCGAGTTTCTTGATGGGTTTCTTTGTTGCTCTTTTATCTTAAAGTCCTTCTTCATAAATTGTACCTAGGATGCTGCAGTGATTTTGTTAATGCTTTTCCCATTGGTCTTTCCCTCCTCCACAAGAGCACGGACCCCAACCACCTACGTTACTGTCCAGATTGCCGGACACAGAAGCTGTGCCATAAATACTTCTTACAGGACGATCCCAAGAAGGCAAGTGGCATTTCTCTGCCCCTCACCCAGCTCCTCCAGAGAGCACCGACTTTCTGCTCCCATCTTCCTCTCTATCCTCTCACTGCCACACAGTGTCATAAAGAGTTGTCCTTTTATTCATTCATAATGAATGAATCTCTCTACTCAGCACCTCTGTTTGCCTGGCACCTTTGTGATGTGGGTGATCAGTCCGGGGCTGCCACTGTTAGCATCCGTGGATGTACTCCCTGAATTCTGGTGGCACCTGTGACATTTGTCCAGCAGGATTTGTCAAACACGTGAACCAAAGGTTAATAATCTGTCCCAGAAACAGAAGGAATTGACAGTCTAAGGAAGTGTCAACTTTTTTTTTTTTTTAATTCACATAACATGAACTTCACCACTTAAAAATGAACACTTCAGCGGCACTTAGTACATTGAGAATTTTATGCCCTCGCTATGTCTGTTTAATTCCAGAACATGGTCGCCACCCCGGGAGACCCTGTACCCATCAGCAGTCACTCCCATTCTCCCCAGCACCTTCTCAGTCCTAGACAACCACTAATCTGCTTTCTGTTTCTATGGATTTGCCTATTCTAGAAATTGCAAATAACGAGAATTATACGTACGTGATCTTTGGGGTCTGGCTTCCTTCACTTAGCATATTTTTGAGGTTTGTCTGGATTGTAGCAGGTGTCAGGACTTCATTCCTTTAATGGCTGAATAATATTTCATTGTGGTTAGACCACATTCTGCTTATACATTCAACTGTTGGACGTGTACATTGTTTTCCCTTTTGGTTACTGTGAATAGAACTATTGGGGTGTGTACCTAGAAACAGAATTGCTGGGTCATGTGGTCATTCTCCGTTTAGAATTTTTGAGGAACGACCTCAAAAAACTATTTGATGTCAACCTTTTTTTTTTTTTTTTTACTCCTCTTGGGGTGCTTGAACTCACAACCCTGAGGTCAAAAGTTGCATGCTCTGCCGATCAAGCCAGCCAGGTGCTCTGATGTCAGCTTTTTCACTTCCTGTTTGCCTTACGCCTGGCAGGCACCAAGTAGGGTACTGAACTAGGAAAACATTAAATAATAAATATGTTAAAAAAAAAAAAAAGTGGTGGTTGGGGAACAGGCAGTTCTAGGCCCACATCCCAGTTTAGTAACAATCAGCTTGAGCTGGAAGTAGCTGCCGCCTCTGTAGGGGGCAGGCTTACTCTATTTTGGGGTTCCTGCAGAGATGGAGTTTGGAATTCGTCTGTGTGTGAGGAGGGGCTTTTCAAATAAGGAAATGTGGAGTAGGCTCTTCTGTATAGACTTAAGATCACGTCATGTTGTGCAAGACTTTTTAAGGATGTCAACTGGAGAGGGGAGTGAGGTCCCCACTGCGCTGGGAGCGACCCACTTCCCCTGCCCTGCCCTGCCCGCCTCCGGCCACTGACCCTTCCTCTCTCCGCAGGTGGCGCTGCTGCCGGATGGGAGTGCCTGGGCACGCGCACCATGTCATCATGCGTCTCTAGCCAGCCCAGCAGCGACCCGGCCGCCCTCCAGGATGAGCTGGGGGGCGGCGGCGACAGGGAAGGCCAGAAGCCCTGTGAAGCCCTGCAGGGCCTCTCGTCCCTGAGCATCCGCTTGGGCATGGAGTCCTTCATCGTGGTCACCGAGTGTGAGCCGGGCTGCGTGGCGGACTGCGGCCTGGCCCGGGACCGGCCCCTGGAGGCCCACGGCCGAGATGGGCCCCTCGACGCCTCCGGCTCCGGGCCCGACGCCCGGCCCCAGCTGTGCAGTCGCAAGCTCTCTCTGCAGGAGCGGTCCCAGCTGGATGCGAACGGACGCTGCGTCTACGCGGCCCTGCCCCACTCACCGGTGGGCTCCCCGCAGTCGTCGCCGCGGCTGCCCCGGCGGCCCACGGTGGAGTCCCACCACGTCTCCATCACCGGCATGCAGGTGAGTGAACTGGCCGGGCCGCGGGGTCCTCTGGTAGGCGGCACTGTTCCAGAACGTTCATTTGGGAGGTGACCTCAGGAAGCCCAGGTGGGGGTGGGAAATGAGGGTAGAAGAGAAGGACGTCAACAAAGGGTGCCTGAGGGAATTGGTTGTGGCCATACACAACTGGGGCTCCATCTTTGGGGAGCCCTGTTTGACCTGTCGAAAGTTCTGTACCTCAGAGTTATCCTGCCTGAGGGCCAAGGGAGCTGGGCTTTTCATACTGACTCCTGACAGTTGCTGGTGAGGGCTACTGGGGGGCAGGTGACCTGCCCTGAGAGTGGGCACAGCAGCTCTGGGGCCACAGGGAGCGTCTGTCGGAGATGCAGGTGCTGGTGGTTGGAGTTTGGCTGGGGATGGTGGTCAGTGAGAAGCCTCCGGTCCAGCAGCAGGGGGCCAGGCACTGCTCTCTCTCTGCACTGTGTGTAAATTTCTCATTTGATCCTTACTGGAAACTTCTGGGAGGTAGGTTAGAACTTAGAGCTCCACTAGGGCTCACCAGGCCCTGAGTGCTCTGCCCCTGCCCCCTCTCCCACCCCATCTCCTGCCTCTCTGCTGCCAGCTCACAGGGCTCTGTCCACATTGCCTTCTTTGTATTCCTCAGATATCCATGCTCGTTCCCTCCATTAGGCCTTTACCCCTGCTGTCCTCTGTGCTTGGGCCCCCCACCCCCTGTCTTTGCAGGGCTGTCTCCCCTTGACAGCCAAGTTTCAAATCAAATGTCTTCTCCTCTGAAGGACCTCCCTGACCACCCCCTGTAAGCCCCCTCAGCCCCCAGCCCCTCTCCACTGTCACCCTGTTAGCGACACTCATCACCATCTGATTATCTGTGTGTCTGTTGAGTTGTTTTTGGCCTGTCTCCCCAGCTAGAATGTAAGCTCAGAAGGAACAGTCCTGTCCACCATCACGTTCCCAGCGCCTGGCACGGTACCTTGTACATAGTAGGAACACAAAAATATTTGTTGAAGGAATGAATGAATTTAATTGGGAGAAGCATGGATATCGAGAATGGCCTTTTATTTTTTTATTTTTTTAAAGATTTTATTTATTTATTTGACAGACAGAGATCACAAGTAGGCAGAGAGGCAGGCAGAGAGAGAGAGAGGAGGAAGCAGGCTCCCTGCAGAGCAGAGAGCCCAATGCGGGGCTCGATCCCAGGACCCTGGGATCATGACCCAAGCCGAAGGCAGAGGCCTTAACCCACTGAGACACCCAGGCGCCCCGGCCTTTTAAAGGGGCCGGTATTTAACTATACTTTGAAGGCCGGGTAGGACTTTCATAATTGGAGATGGGTATACACAGAGAGTTCACTGCAGGGGAATGCACAGTGTGAGCAAAAGCCCAGGGGTAGAAGGCAGGATGTGGGGGAAAGGTACTCAGGGCTTCAGCTAGATGAAGAATAGGGCCCATGTGAGGAGCACTGTGGCAACAGGGGAGTTTGGGTTTATTTTGGTTAGATTTGAGTCAGCCTAGAGAGAGAAAGATACACTGCTTTTCCCCATAGCAGTGGCTTTAACATAATAGGGCTTATTTATCATGTAAAATAAATCTGGAGGTAGGCATTTGGGACCTGTGTGGTGGTCTTGTTGTCCTTAAAACCTCATGGTCTCAAGATGGCTGCTGTGACTATAGCCCTCACAGCTTCATTCCAGGCAGGAAGAAGGAACAGGAAAGAAGAGCAAAAGTCATCTGCTCTCTTAAGTCAGTCCTTTTTCCTGGAAACTCTACCCAACAACTTCTGGCTTCTCCTGCTACCCAGAACGTAGTGTGGCCACCCCTAGCTGTAAGAGAGGCTGGGAAATGCAGTTTTGCAGCCTGAGACATTGCCACCGAGCTATCCATTTATAAGGAAGAAAGGGGAGCCTGGAATTTGGTTGGCAACTAGGCGACTCTGCAAGGTCAGAGGAGTGGAGTCAGTACTTGACCCTGGAAGCATCAGGGCCCGATGGGATCTGAGTGGAATCTGGAAGATGAGTTCAGCAGCATTTGGGGCTTAGATTAGGGGCAGCGAGACCCGTTAGGTCAGCTCTGCAGGGCCCCACTTCTGCCTGTCACATTCCTCTAGGACTCAAGGGAATGAAATCGACACTGGGAAGAAACAGTGGAAGCAACCTAAAATGTTCCCTGGTGAAGGGAGGGCTGTGTAAGCCGAGGAGGGCTTTACAGCAAGTCAAAAGATGCGGGTCTGTGTGTACACTCGGACATGGAACGATCTCCAGTGACGTTGTTGAGTGACAGATGATCTAGTGTGACATCATTTTTGTCTCCCCAAACCCCATCCCAAAACAATGCTCTGTATTTTCAACAGGTGCATGTATGCGTGCATTTACATAGAGAAAGGCCTGGAAGTTTATGCACCAAACTGATGTCAAGGTTCGGGGAAAGGGTTAGAATTGGGGTGGGCTGAGCCACCCAGGCGCCCCGGAAGTGTTATTTTCTATCATGTTTCTTTTCCCTGTTTTACTTCTTACATCACCTAACATTTTCTCCCTAACTATGTTGAGGTATAATTGAATTAAATCAAAGTGCATGTATTTCAAGTGTACAATACAGTCATTGCTGATAGATGCATACATCTGTGAAATCATTGCCCCAGTCAAGGTCACAGACCTTCCCCGCACACCCGATGACACATCCTTCCCCCTTCTTCCCCTTTCCCAGGTACCCGCTGACCTGCTTTTTTAGCATTATAGATTAGTTTGCAAGTTCAAGAACTTTCTGTGAGTGGAATATCTAGTATGTACTCTTTTTTGGGCTTAGCTTCTTTTAAGGCATGATGATTTCGAGACTTGTCCATGTTGTTACATGTTGTTACATGTTTCTTTTTTTTTTTTTTTTTTAAAGATTTTATTCATCCACTTGACAGACAGAGATCACAAGTAGGCAGAGAGGCAGAGAGAGAGGAGGAAGCAGGCTCCCCGCTGAGCAGAGAGCCCGATGCGGGGCTCGATCCCAGCACCCTGGGATCATGACCCGAGCCGAAGGCAGAGGCTTTAACCCACTGAGCCACCCAGGTGCCCCTACATGTTTCCTTTTTATGGCTATTAGCATTTCATTGTGTGCAGTAGACCACTGTTTATTTGTTTACCTGTCAGTGGGCGTTTGAGGCGTTTCCAGTGTTCGACTATTAAACTTGAAGCTGTTTCAAGCAGCAAGTCTTGGCACGAACACAGGTTTTCACACCTCTTAAATGAACGGGTAGGACAGAATGGCTATGTCCTAGAGGAGGTGTTTGTTAACAAACTGCCCAACTGTTTTCCGAAGAGGCTGCACCATTTTAAATTCTTGCCGGCAGTGTGCGAAGCTTCTCCATGGCCTGCATTATTCTGACAACACTTGGTATGGTCATTTTTGAGTTTTAGCCAGGCTAATGGGTGTGGTTTTAATTTACATTTCCCCTATGAGTCATGACGTTGAGTCTCTCTCTTTTTTTTTTTTTTTGGAGCCTCTTTTCATGTGCTTACTGCTCATTTGTATATCTTCTTTTTTTAAATGAGGGTGTCGTTATTAATAAGTTATAAGAGTTCTTTTTTTTTTTTAAGATTTTATTTATTTATTTGACAGAGAGAGAGAGATCACAAGTAGGCAGAGAGAGAGGGGGAAGCAAGCTCCCTGTTGAGCAGAGAGCCCGATGTGGGGCTCGATCCCAGGACCCAGGGATCATGGCCTGAGCCGAAGACAGAGGCTTAACCCGTTGAGCCACCCAGGCACCCCAGTTACAAGAATCCTTTATCTATCTGGGTGCCAGTCTGATGTGTTGCAAATAGTTTCTCTCAGGCTGTGACTTGCCTTTTGTTTTCTTAATAGTGAGTATCTCAAAGAGCAGAAGTTTTTTGTTTTTTTTTTTTTCCAAAGAGCAAAAGTTTTAGTTTTTATGAAATTCCGTTTATCACTTAATTTCCTTTTATATCTTGTACTTTTTGTACAGAAAGAACTTTTCAGAAACCATTAAGAAACCATTGTCTGCCTCACAGTCACTCAGATTTTCTCCACTATGTCACTTTATGTTTTTGGAGGACAGCAAAGTCCTTAGATAGGATTATTTGTTTAATTGAAAATCAACATTTTGGAAACACATCTTAAAAATGGGTATTAAAAAAACAAACAAAAATGGGTATTAAAAGAGTACATACTGTATGATCACCTTTTTACAATGTACAGGAACTAGGCTTTTAGAAGTCAGGGTAGTGGTCACCTTGGGAGATGCCTCTGGGTGGCTGGGGGAACTCTCTTTCCTGATTTGGGTCCTGGTGTATATGTTGTTTTGTGAAAAACATACCAGGAGAGCTGCAGACTTAAAATTCATATTCTGTGTGTTTCTACTTAACTTTCCAGGATTGTGTACAGCTGAATCAGTACACGCTGAAGGATGAAATTGGAAAGGTAAATATCCCAGGAGCCAGGCTAGTTTTCTACATCTACCAAAAATGTCTGAGATAGAGTGGAGGGAATGCACTAGAGCTAGGAGTGGGAAGAAGTCCTTCGAGGCGAGATTGTGGGAGGGTTTTGTCATCAACGGTCCATCTGGCTTATTTTCTTTCTACATCATAATATTAATGTGTTTCCACAAAAGCTCAGACAACTTCGAGGGAATTCCATATCACCAACATTAGTGGGTTTTTTTTTCCCCCCTCTTATGTACTGTCACATCTATTTTTGCTTTTATTTCAGCCAAATAGTCAGTATCTTTGCAGAGGTCAGAAACTCAAATGCCAATAGAAAGCAAGTGAGTAATATAAATGAGCAAATCATGCTAGGGCTAAGGCAGTAGGGAGTGGTGAGGACTGTGGCAAACTGTTAACATGTAGAAATGATTATAGGCCCATATGGCTAGATCTTCTCATGTTTTTTCAAAAGAAGCTGAGAATTTAGATTTTTATATCTGCATCTTTCTGTTTTTAAATGTTGGCAACTAATTCAAACTTTCTAAAAGCTGCCGATGCAACAAAATGTAATTGGAGAGCAGATTTGGCCATTTGGTTGCTGGTTTGCAGCCCCTGTATTAGGGTCCTCATTTTGCAGATTGTAACTTCTGGATAGTATGTCATGGGCATCTCCCTTTATTCAGGGCTCCTATGGCGTGGTCAAGTTGGCCTACAATGAAAATGACAATACCTATTACGTGAGTATCCACGGCCCCCTCCCCGCCCTCACCATTGGCCAAAGTAAAGGCCTCCTTTCCAGAACTTGATTTCCTGGAAGATTTTCTTTGCTCTTGTCTCATTTTATTCTTAGGTCATTTCATTTTGGGCGTTAGGAAGGAAGTGATGTTCCCATTATAGAGATGTGGAAATGGGGAGGCAAAGTGATGGGCTCAGAAAGAAAGCAGATACATTCAGCAAATGTCTCATACCTTTACTCTGGGCTCCCATTTCTACATCCTCCATAGCACCAAGAACCAGGTGGTAGTGAGACAAATTGCCCTTGTAGCTGAGGCTTTGGGGTCAGTCTAGTATGGGTTCAAATTCTGGCTCTCCCATCTGCCACCTGTGTGTCCTTCCTATGTGTCCTTGGGCAAGGACACACAGTTGTATTGAGTCCCAGCCAGGAGAGTAGACATGGAACCTCAGAAGCACCCTCAGGGCGGGGGAGATCCTGGCAGTCCAGCCTCCAGGCCACTCGCAGCTGGTCAAGCCACTCTGATGACGAAGTGCTCACTACATTGTCCCGAGGCCACCTGCGTGCCAAGAACTTTGGCAGGCCTAGGAGTAGAGGGGACTCTCCCTCTCCCTTCCTCCATTTTAACCGAGATGCGGGGTCTTTTCTCTCATAGGCGATGAAGGTGCTGTCCAAAAAGAAGCTGATCCGACAGGCGGGCTTTCCACGTGAGTTTGGTGGGCCGCACCATTGCTCTTTGATGCAGAGTTGGGGCATGACAGGAAGATCTCGTTGAATGGTGTCCCCTGTAGAGTACCCGGGTAGAGGCCTCAAAGACTCCTATCACTATGACCTGGGGTATGGCATGGGAAGGAGGGGACAGAAAGCTGAGCAAGGGGGCTGGGTCTCCAGCCTCACTGAGTTTCAACAGCAGAGGAGACAGGTGAGAGGAGCAGCCAAGCCCTGCCAAGACCCCCTCCCTTGCATTTCCCCCCATTTGCAGAGGAAAAGCTCTTTGCCCTGACCCTGGGGTGGTCTGTGTCTCCTCCAGGTCGCCCCCCACCCCGAGGCACCCGGCCAGCCCCCGGAGGCTGCATCCAGCCTAGGGGCCCCATTGAGCAGGTGTACCAGGAAATCGCCATCCTCAAGAAGCTAGACCACCCCAATGTGGTGAAGCTGGTGGAGGTGAGCTGGGGGGACAGGGAGGAGGGAGGCGAGAATGGTGGTTTTCTAGGCCCAGCTCTGTTACTACCCAAATGCTGCACTGCTGGTTTCTAGGGAGAGCCAGGCCAGGTTAAGCAGCTGTTGGAGGACTGAGTAGTAGTATTGCTCCAGGTTCTTTCACCACTGTTCTTTCATGTTATCCTCACCCTTCCCTAAGACTATTACTCCCAGTTTACAAATGAGGACATTGAAGGTCAGAGGGCTACTAAGACTTGTCCTTTATCCATTTTTGTCTTTGGAACTGGTTCTGTTTCTCCGTGTTATATGTGCTTTTAGCACAAAGGCAACCATATGCATGTAAACAAATGGGTGTGGCTGTGTTCTAATAAAACTTTATTTACAAAAAATAAGCAGAGGGCCAGATTTGGCTTGTGTGCTGTATTTTCCATCCCTTGTTCTAGATTAGCAGTTCTCACAGTTTTTGGTCTCTGGATTCCTTTATGTGCTTTAGAATTATTGAAGACCCCAAAAAAGTTTTGCTTTTGTGGGTTGTATTTATTATTATTTGCCATATTAAGATTTAAAACTGAGAAACTTAAAAATTATTTATTCATGTAAAAACAACAGAAGTCCCATTATATATTTTTATGAAAAATAAGCATATTTCCTGAAAAAATTTACATTTTGTTTATATTTATTTATTTATTTAAAAGATTTTTACTTATTTATTTGACAGACAGAGATCACTAGTAGGCAGAGAGGCAGGCAGAGAGAGAAGGGGAAGCAGGTTCCCTGCTGAGCAGAGAGCCCCATGCGGGGCTCCATCCCAGGACTCCGGGATCATGACCTGAGCTGAAGGCAGAGGCTTTAACCCATTGAGCCACCCAGGTGCCCCTACATTATATTTTTTTAAAATATTTATTTGTTAATAAATAAATAAAATCTTTAAAAAAAATATTTATTTGTTTATTTGAGAGAGAGAGAGAGAGAGGGAGAGAGCAAGCATGGTGGGGAAGAGCAGAGGGTGAGGGAGAGATAGTCCCAAGCAGACTCTGCACTGAGTGCGGAGCCCGACTCAGGGCTTGATCTCAGGATCCTGAGATCAGGACCTGAGCTGAAACCAGGAGTCAGATGCTTAATGGACTGCGCCACCCAAGCAGTTTACATTTTTGTAAATTTTTGTTGTTGTTAACATCTGGCTTAATAGAAGATGGCTGGATCCTTGTATCTGCTCTTGCTTTTAGCCTATGGTGACTTTGCGTGCCATGTGATTTCTTGTTTCTCTACTAGTAAAGGATGAGAGTAGAAAGGGCAACTATTATCTTAATTTTATTTATTATTATTATTATTATTATTTTAAAGATTTTATTTATTATTTATTTGGACAGAGAGACACAGTGAACAGTGAGAAAGGTAACACAAGCAGGAGGAGTGGGAGAGGGAGCCCAGGCTTCCTGCTGAGCAAGGAGCCCAATGCAGGCCTCAATCCCAGAACCCTGGGATCATGACCTGAGCCGAAGGCGGAGGCTTTAACCTGCTGAGCCACCCAGGCGCCCCGGAAGGCAGACGTTTAATGGCTGAGCCACCAGGCGCCCCTATTTTTTTTTTTAATAAGATTTAGTTTTTATTTATTTGAAAGAGAGAGAAGAGAGAGCATGAGCAGGGAGGAGAGGGAGAAGCAGGCTCCCCACTGAGCAGGAAGCCTGATGCAGTGCTCGATCCCAGGACCCTGAGATCATGACCTGAGCCAAAGGCAGATGCTTAACCAATTGAGCCACCCAGGTGCTACTTATCTTAGTTTTAGTGTGAAAATCGTTTTGACCTCATAAACTCCCTAAAAGCATCTTGGGGATCCCTAGAAGTTCCCAGATCACATTTGGAGCACCTCTGGCCTAGATGACAGGATTTGTAAATGGCGTGTGATCAAGTATGTAATTGGATGGGTGTTGGAGGTCGTGCCGGAGCACGGAGTGCAAGCAGCCCGCCAGCCCAAGCAGCTGAGGAAGGCTTCTCATGGGAACGGATGTTTGAGATGTCCCCGGTTGTTCCCTGCATGGAGATAATAGGGAAAGGACAGGGAAGAACATCACAGAGGATGGAACAGCATGTGCAAAGGGCCGGTGTCATCTGAGGGTACACACCTGCCCTTTGATGGGTGTGAGGGTTAGCAGAGGGCTGCCCTGGGCCTCTGCCTAGGGTGCATCTCATTCTTAGAGCTCTCGTCCTATGGATCTTGGTTGACTGGAGAAGGTGAAGATGATGTGGGAAGAGGCAGGAGAGAAGGAGAAGGATGGTGGCTGCTGGCTGCCTCCACCTGTGACACTGAGTTTCACAGTCTCAGGTCGCTGATGCTGGAGTCAGCCATCTTGGAGGAAACTCAAGGACACTTGGTTAGCAAGTGGCTCTGGGTCCTGGTGGGATCTCCCTCGCCCCCCTGTGGCTTCTGACCTGTACACCCAACAAGACTGGTTGCCACCCTGCCTCTTGGACAGACCTCAGACATTCCTCAGATGGACATGGACATTTAGGCATTTCCTGAGCACTGACTATGAGCCTTGTCTTGTACAGGGCACCACGGAGGCAACTCAGGCGGGTATAGCCATTTGCAGAGAGGGACAAGATAGACATAAGTGACAAGCTGAAAGCCGGATGGCTGTGAGGAGAACGAGGACATGCCATGGTGGTTCCAGGCAGGGGGACGTCCTTTCTTAAGGGGGCAGGAGGTTGGGGGGCACTTCATGGAGGAGTTGGAAGAGCCCAGACAGGACTTGAATTTTTACCCTGAGGATCATTCTGCTGTCTCCTGGGAGACAGGTGGGATTCTTACTGAAGCTGAGACATTTCCCAGGGGAGGGATTTTTTTAAAAAAAGTTATTTTTTATTTGGTTTGTTTTGTTTTTGAGTAATTTCTCCTCTCCGTATGGGGCTCAAACTCATGACCCTGAGATCAAGAGTTGCTTGCTTGACGGACTGAGCCAGCCGGGCACCCCCATTGCCCAGGGGAGGAATTTGCCCCTCCCTTTTATAACCTCTTTTCTAGATGTCTTGGACCCTTGAGGGATTGGGTAGAGGTGCCTATTTTCCAGATGGCCTTTTGGATCGTGCACACTGGGTTTTTTCCTGTGCCCTTCATCTTGACCAGTGGAAAGAACCGCCCTCCCGTTGGCAAATGCAGTCATGTGGATGCTGCTTCCTCCCTGCTCTTATCATTTCTCTCTCTTCCTCTCCCCTGCTCCTCATCTCCGGCCTGTTCCGTGTGGCTGTGCCAACAGGTCCTGGATGACCCCAATGAGGACCATCTGTACATGGGTAAGAAAGCCCTTGCCGTCCGGTGCCCTGGCTCAGGCAGCTGAACCTGCCAAAGCCCAGGCGTCCTCGTGAGCATTCCCTGTCCCTGGTATCTCCTGCCAGAGCTGGGCCCCACAGTGAGCCCCACATGAGGCTGCAGCTCTGGTTTGAAGCAGGAGGTGGAAGGGAGTGCTTGCGGGGACTTTCTCTGGAGGTCCTATTCATTCACTTTCAAATACTTACAGAGCTCATGCTAATGCTGGGTATGTTCTAGGCACTAGGGATGCAGTGGTGGATGAGAATGATGAGGCTCCTGCTCTTGTGAAGCTGATAATTCTAGTCAGGGAATAAACCAGTTAACTTCAGATAGATCCTCTGAAGAAGGTTAAATAGGAATCTGAGAGAGAGGGATTGAGGGCCACTTCACATATGAGGTGATGATTTGGCACCTGAATGTCAAAGACACCGTCCTGTTACATGTGGGGAAGAGCATTCCTGGCAAAGGTGCAGATGCAAAGGCCCTGAGGCTGGTGAGAGCTTAGTGTTTGAGGAAAACGTGGCCTTGACAGTGGAAACCAGGGAGAGGGGATGGGGATGAGGATGAAGAGCCTGAGGCCATGGTGGGGCACGTGCAGCCTTGCAGGGCACTGCACAAAGAAATGAAAGGATGCAGGTGTTCCCTCAGAGACTTGATTTTTTTAAAATTGGTGAGGACATGGGACAGCCCTCTGTCAGCTCAGAGCGTAGATACTGATGAAGGAAGGGAGGGCAGGACTTCCAAACAGGACATTAGGATTTTGAATTAGGATTCAAAACTAGATAGCAGACTGAGCCCAGGAATGCATGATAGGTCATGTGTCCTTGCAATATGACATGGGTGGGTGTTCAAATGAGCCTATACATTTCGAGTGGGTACAGATGACAGTGGGAGGGGTATCAAGGAGGTGAGGAGAGTAGGCACAAGCCCAGCCTGGAATCCAGAAGTCTGCTGGATGTGCGTGGGGATGATGCTTTGTTGCACAAGGAGTGATTATCTGGGGTCTGGTTTGAATGGGTCTGGTTTGAAAAGAGTTCAGAGCTCACTTTTCTCCTCAGGTAGTTGCTATGGTTCAGTTCCAAGGACGTGTTGTAGCTTAGAACATGTTATTTTTCATTCCCCGCTCCTCTTCCCTGCCTTGGATTTTTATTCTTTTTTTTTTTTTTTTCCCTAAAGATTTTATTTATTTAGTTGACAGAGATCACAAGTAGGCAGAGAGGCAGGCAGAGAGAGAGGAAGGGAAGCAGGCTCCCTGCCGAGCAGAGAGCCCGATGTGGGGCTCGATCCCAGGACCCTGGAATCATGACCTGAGCCGAAGGCAGAGGCTTTAACCCACTGAGCCACCCAGGCACCCCTCAGGTTTTTATTCTGACAGATGTTAAGCCTCTACAGAAAAGTTGGAAGAATAGTACAATGAGTACCTGTATACCTACCACCCCGATTCCACAGTTAATAATGTTTGTTGGATTTGCTTTATTTGTCTAGCCACCCACCTATCCATTTCTGTATTATTTTTGCTGGACTATCCAAAATGTAAAGTAGCAGACAGACGTCTTGATACTTCAGCCCCTGAGTACTTCATTGTGCATCTCACATAGGGACCTTCTCCTGTGCGATCACAATACCATTATTACCTCTGAGAAAGTTAATACCAGTTCCCTAAGAGATCTAATGTGCACTCCATGTTCAAATTTTAGAAACTCTTTTTTTTCCAGTTAGTTTGTAAATTTTAGAACTTATAAAATCTTCCTGTGGAAACAATTTAGAAGCTACACAGCAAATAACATCACATGTGTTGAATTTATCTATTTTTTTTTAAGATTTTATTTATTTTTTGAGAGCGAGCGAGCATGAGCAGGGGGAGTGGCAGAGGAAGAGGGAGAAACAGACGCCCTGCTGTGCATGGAGCCCGATGTGGCCTCGATCCTGGGACCCTGGGATCATGACCTGAGCCAAAGGCAGAGGCTTTAACCCACTGAGCCACCCAGGCGCCCCTCACCTCAGGTTTTTAAAATGGAAAGAACAAAACCAAACCAACAAGAACAACAAAAGTCTGTGCAGTTCCCTGGACACAGCTTATCTAATACTTGGTGGTTTGGAGCAGGGGTTCCCCGCACATACAGTGCTGGGAAGGAGCTGGCAGGGTGGGAGGCATTTGCATGTCGTGCATGAATGTGTCAAGAAAAGGCCCTGTTTAGGAATCGTGGGATGAGTTGGCCTTTGAGGTGCTGAAGAAATCTCCACCCCCTCCCCACCCCCCTTCAAGTCCTGTTTTGGATTGGGAGTCACAGGAAACAGTCTGAGGCCCAGCTGACCGCAGAGCATTGAGGAGTTGGAAGAATCTATAAGCGTTCTCCGTCTGTGGCCTGACACAGCCTGGCAATGTGGAGCATATGGAAGGGATTGTTGAAACATGTTCTTGTTTCTTGGATCAAAACTTTGCTGGGGTCCTGAAGACCTCTAGGGCTCCTTCTTTGTGCCTAAGTAAACAGATGTTGGGTTGTGTCCCCATAGACCTGTTCTATGGCATCAGGTGGCTCAGAACCTGGGTGTGACTACGAGAACATAGTTTAGTATCAGTTGTATCCCTGGAATCTCCAAGGTATGAGTGAAGAGAAGAAAGGATCCCATGAGCCATCCCCACGTGTCTCCTGTCTCCCTGCTTTGTTTTCCCTGGCCAGGGGGTCCTTGGCTGTTTTGAGGACTAAAAATACAGCCAGACCGGGGAGGACCTTGCAGGACCTTGACCAGCTTTGGCTCAGTGGATTGTTCCTTTCTCTAGCCCCAGTACTAGTTTCTATGCTGCTTGGTGTTCTATGGGCGATTGGGGAGGAGGAGGAAGATGGATTTCCAATTTCCCAATGTAACAGTTGACCCCCTTTTCTTCCTGCAGTGTTTGAACTGGTCAACCAAGGGTGAGTATCCTGTTTCCCTGGCAGGTATGATGCCTGAAACTTCTGAAGCTGAGCTTCTCATGGGAGGCGGTGCTTGGTTCTGCTGGTGAGAGAAGGTGAAGGCCAGTATGTCTGCTTTTGCTTTTCGACCTTCCAGGCCAGTGATGGAAGTGCCCACCCTCAAACCACTCTCCGAAGACCAGGCCCGTTTCTACTTCCAGGACCTGATCAAAGGCATAGAGTACCGTAAGCAGGGGCCTGTGGGAGGATTCTCACCCGGGGGTGGTTAGCATCCCAGCTAGCGGATGGCAAGTGGGAAAGTGGAATTTCCCTCCTGGAGTGCAAGCAGCAGGTGGGTGGGAAACAGAATTGCCTGAAATGCAGTCTTGGACAGCTGCAGAAAGCTATGCTCCCGATGAACAGAAACACTTCTTTCTGCCACAAAAATTAAGAGTCATATTGATAATGACTGTTTGCCCCAGGACTTTCTTTGTGTACCAGGCGCTGTTAGGGGCTGTATTTGCATTGTCTCTTATGCCCAGCAACCCTGGGATGGGGATCCTGTTAATCTGTTACCTTAGTTTTCTCATCTGTAAAATGGGAATAAAGTGTTTCTCACCACGGTGGAAATCAGCCAGTATATATCAGTAGTTCTGACTGACAGGTGTCCTTTCTGATTCTGGTCGTAAAACATTTTGTCTCTTCCCCTTGCCCATTGTTGGGAGATTTAAATGGGGAAAATGGGAACCACTTAACACAGGGCTTGGCCCCAGGTGGGGCACTCAGCAAATGGAGCTGGTGCCCCTATTACTGGTATCATTGTCGTCACTACCACCAGCAAAGAAATGCAGTTGGGCCTTCCAGACCATAGGAAGAGAGACCATGTCCTCTCCCATAGGTTGACATCCAGGCAGGAAGGAGTTAATGAAGTTCCAGTCTTACTTTGTGGTCCACACTTCCATTGGACCTGCTCCAGTCATTGTTGGTGTGGTGAACAGGTTGAGTGTTGGCATTAGTAAACGAAAATATGTTTGTCATAAGTCGTGAGGCTTCTAGCTGGAAGCCAGCCAGGCTCGACAAAAACGCTGCAGGGACCGTCGTCCCCCATGACTTAGAGTAGAGCAGGTGGTTCTAACTATTATTGTCAGTTGATGTTTCACTCCTTATTTTTGAAGATGGGGTAACTTCCTTAAACAAACTCCCCCCCCCCCCCTTATCTCTCAAAGCTGAGGGTATGTAGGTTTGGGAGGATAAGGCTTGGGGCTTGGGGGCCGTGAAGGAGCACCGGGTCAATGTCTGTGTTTCTGGGCTCTGGGGGCTGCGCAGAGCTCCTCACATGGTTCTCCTGCTCCCTCTCTCCCATCTGGTGTCCACCTCACTCCCAGTACACTACCAGAAGATCATCCACCGGGACATCAAACCTTCCAACCTGCTCGTGGGAGAAGATGGCCACATCAAGATTGCCGACTTCGGTGTGAGCAACGAGTTCAAGGGTAGCGATGCGCTCCTTTCTAACACCGTGGGCACACCTGCCTTCATGGCGCCGGAGTCACTCTCGGAGACCCGGAAGATCTTCTCTGGGAAGGTAGGTGTGGACCTGTCTGAGATGATGAGTTCTGCTTGTGGTCAGGTCCTTTTCCTTTAAGTGGCAAAAATCCCACCCAAACTGGCTTAAACAACGAATCCACTGGATCTTGTAGATGAAGAGCGGCTTCCGGTTTGGCTAGATACCGGGATTCACACAAGAACCCATCTCTCCATCTTTCAGCTGTTTTCTTGAATTGGTTTCCTGTCCAGGTGGGTGGGTACCCCCAGTTCCAGGCTCCTCCCTATCAGCTTACCTACCTCAGTAGAAAGAACATTCTTTCTGAGGAGCCTTCGGAAAAAATCTCGGGATTGGCTGTGATTGGCTCAGCCCGGGTCATGTGCCTATTCTTGAGCCAACCATTGTGGCTGGTGGCGGGGAGGGGTGCTCTCATTGGTCAGGCCTGGGTCATGTGCCTACCCTTAAGCCAATCACTATGGCTGGTGGAAATGAAGCTCTTATGGCCAGGCTTGGCTCATGTGCTCACCCAGAGGCCGGGAGCAGAATCCGGAATCAGAACTGGGTGGTTTCTCAGAGGAAAGCTGAAGGATTTGATTTAGTATTTGGCTGCGCAGGAGCCATAGACAACCCTCGCTGCCTCTTGGCCCCTTACACGAAGCTCTTTCTCTTGCAGGCTTTGGATGTTTGGGCCATGGGCGTGACGCTGTACTGCTTTGTGTTTGGCCAGGTAACGGGGTGGAGTGTCCTGTCTGCTGAGTGTCGCTGGGCAGCCCCGGTGGGTTAATAGTTACCCTTACGGGGAGACAGTACTTAGTCATTGAGTTTACCACAGTTAGACCTGAATGTGAAAAAAAGATGCTTGTCCAAATGTGCATACCTGTATAGAATAGTCCTGTCTGTGGGAAATGATCTGTTAACACGAAGGATTGACAGAAGCTCCAGAGGTTGTAAATAGTTGACAGGTTTGGCGCAAGGATGACAGATGCGCTACCTTCTCTCCCAACTCCGACTCCCCAGACAGACATCACAAGTCAATAGCCGCTGGCACCCTTTCTTCCTGAGCCCAGGGCTTCTTTGATGTTCCTCTCAGAGTGTGTTTCCAGAAGCAGCTGTTGGGGGGACAGAACTGGAATGGGCGTGAAAATCCATTTGGCGTTATTGACTGAGGGAATGCGGTCTCATCTCTTTGTTGTTCTTTTGTTGTCGTCTCTTATTATTATGTTTAGGAACTTTGGTTTTTGATTCTGAAGTTCAGATTAAATTATGTGAACAGTAAAAGCACAGATTTTTCATTTTCATGAACTTGTGCTTTTGTGGAGGAAAGCTTAAGAAACCGCTTATGATGTCCTCCCCACCAATATTTGATGAAATTTTCAATCCTATAGCAAAGTTGAAATGACTGCAGGAAACACCCACACAGCCACCAGCTGTTTCTGCCATAAACATTTCACTGTATTGACTTTATCACAAGTCTGTCCATCTTCAACCTGTCTTTATTTTTTTTACACATTCCAGAGTAAGTTGCTAACATCTCTACACTTGCTTCCAGACGCTGCTTCGGAATGTAGTCATTAGCTAGAGCTCAGTATTTGTTTGTTCTTCTTCTTCTTCTTCTTTTTTTTTTTTTTTCCTTTTTGGGGTAAAATTGGCATATAATGAAATATACAGATCTGAAGTGTACTGGTTAATGAGTTCTGTCAGATGGGTACGCCTGTATAATCCAAACTCTTAATTCAAGTTACTGCTCTCTTTTTTTTTTTTTTTAAGATTTTATTTATTTGACAGTTAGAGATCACAAGTAGGCAAAGAGGCAGGCATAGATAGAGGAAGAGAAGCAGGCTTCCTGCTGAGCGGAGAGCCCAGGACTCTTGAGATCATGACCTGAGCCGAAGGCAGACGCTTTAACGCACTGAGCCACCCACGCACCTGCCAAGTTACTGCTCTTAATGAAAGAATTTTCCTTGGACAGGAAAGGACCAGGTTGCATTCTGTGACTTTTTCCCACATTCTGAGCACCCCACATAAAAGTTCCTTTTCTGGCACTGTACCTGGGTTCCTCCCAGGTCTGTTCCACCATCGGGAAGCACTGATTGTCACCTGGGAAGTGGCATGTGAATGGGCTTCAGAGTCAAAATCCCAGCTTTATGCTTCCCAGGACATGTGACCTCTCTGAGCTTCTGTTTTTTTCTTTTCTGTAAAATGAGAAGAATATTTATGATTTCTTTTTTTTTTTTAATTTTATTTATTTATTTGACACAGAGGTCACAAGTAGGCAGAGAGGCAGGCAGAGAGGGAGAGAGGAAACAGGCTCCCTGCTGAGCAGAGAGCCCGATGTGGGGCTCGATCCCAGAACCCTGGGATCATGACCTGAGCCGAAGGCAGAGGCTTAACCCACTGAGCCACCCAGGTGCTCCGAATATTTATGATTTCTTAAGGCTCTGAGAGGATCAGCAGATATAATTGAAACATTCATTAACTCAACAAGTATTTACCAAACCCCTACTTTGCACCAGGGGTATTCCTGGGCACTGGAGAAACGGCAGGAAGCAAGACCAGCAGCAATCTCCCTGCCCTCTTAGAGCTGATGTTCCCCTGCAGGAGCTAAACAGTAAACGAATACAAATGTAATATAACATCCAGATCGGTGCTCTGAGGAGAAATCACATGGCAGCAAGTGGGGGGTGGTCTGCTTTAAAAAGGGGCTCAGGAAGGCCTCCCTGAGAAGGTGAACTTTAATCATTTACCTGAGTGATGGGAGAAAACGAGCCATGCAGTTGTTGGTGGGAAGAACATTACATGCAGAGGGAACAACCAGTGAAGATTGGTCCTGAGAAACCTCAGTCCAGGGCCTGGCCCAGGTTAAGGCCCAACGAATCACTGCTGTCGCCCCTACATCTTAGGTATTGTTCTTAGTATTATTAGTGTTCACCCAGCAGGTGGGGCTACCTCTGGGTGGAGGAGTCTTTGCTTTTGTCTAAGTAGGTAAAGTAAAGCACAGCTGCTGAGGAAAGCCACAGGGTGGTTGGGAGGGGCTCTAGCCCTTCTAGAAGGACATCCCTGGTTCTTCTAGCCTTGTGGCATGGGAACTGCTCCCTCACTAGAGTGGGCTCCTGGGCATTTATTCCTCTGCTATAACCCACGTGGAGTGATGCTGGCCTGGGCAAGACTGATGTGGCAGCCATCAGTGGCCACTCTGTCCCTGACCTCTCTCTGTAGTGCCCGTTCATGGACGAGCGGATCATGTGTTTACACAGTAAGATCAAGAGTCAGGCCCTGGAGTTTCCAGATCAGTGAGTATTGCCTTTCTGTCCCAACTCACCTTCCTCTCCAAGAACTTGGTGGTCCTTTGTGTGTGTCCCACCCTTAATGTGTCTTCCACCCCCCAGGCCTGATATAGCTGAGGACTTGAAGGACCTAATCACCCGCATGTTGGACAAGAACCCGGAATCAAGGATCGTGGTGCCAGAAATCAAGGTACCTGAGGGCCACCACTCTCCATGGGGTGTGCACCAGGGGCCAGGCCTGTGTCCTCTGCTTGGAATTGTTTGGCTCAACCCTGCCTCGGCCAGGCCCCACGCCTCTCTGTCCACAGCGCTGCGCCCCTCTTGGCACTGTTAATCCTCCCATGCCCTGGGCCTCTGGGCTCCTAAGGGCTGGTGGTGATGGGAGTTGGGGAGGAGGATTTGGACTTGTGTTAACTGTGATTGTGGAAATGGGATCTGCTGCCAGTGGGGTAGCCGGTGCTCGCTCCACTTGGCTTGGGCTGATGGCATTCACCCTCCCTGGACCAGACCAGACTGGGGTCTCTGTGTGCTCCACACCCTGGCTGCCAAGGTCCTAGATCCTTTCCTTGGCCCTGCCCATCCCTTTGAGAAATCTCCGTGGGGATGGGAGGAAATTAGTGAGCAGGTTGACACCGTGTCCCTGGCCTGCTGAATTCCATCCTTTTGCAGAAAGCAGTGTTAGGAGAGAGCCCTTTGCATCCCCTACACCCTGACCAATGGCACATGCACACATCTGACTCTTTAAGAAATCCAAAGGTTTGCTTCAGGAGCTCCTAGGCATCTAGCTAACTAGGATTTGAGGAGGAGGAGGCCAGATGGCTACAGATAAGGACTTGGACCCCAGGGGTGGTGGCAGGGTGGGGAAGATCCCCGCCTGGGTCCTCTCCTGACTCTGTCCTTCTAACTGGTCTCACTGTGCCTCCCTAAGCCTCTCTTTCCCCTTCTGTGAAATGGGGACGGTCTGCTTGCTCTCAGCAGAGCCTTTCAGGGGCATCAGGGAAAGTTGCTGAGGGGTGATGGGTGCTCCTTGGGCAACCATGCAAGGCAGATGTCAAATTCTGGTCACTTCTCCCAAGACCTGGGCTAGATGGAGAGTGCGGTCTGGCGCACATCCCGGCCTGGTGGCTCCCTCCCATTCTCTGTTTCTGTCTTTTCCACGTTTCCTTGCATCTCGCTCACCCCACCCTCTGCCTGGCTTGCCAGCTCTCTTGCATGCCTGACCTCAGGCCGCCACCTCTGCCCTCGCGCATTCCCTCCCTGGCTCCGCTCACTGGCAGGGCCTTGGTGTCGCCCTCTGGCCTCTGGGAGCCAGTCGCCTGCCCCTCACCCCTCCTGTCATTCGTTGAAGCTGCACCCCTGGGTCACGAGGCATGGGGCGGAGCCGTTGCCATCGGAGGACGAGAACTGCACGCTGGTCGAGGTGACTGAAGAGGAGGTCGAGAATTCGGTCAAACACATTCCCAGCCTGGCAACCGTGGTAAGGCGGGACGAACCACTGACCGAGAACAGGGACAGCGTGAGGCGGGCCAGCAAGGACGGGCCGGGGCACAGGCGGGCAGCTAAGAAGCAGACGCTGGGCCTGAGAGTCAGGGGATGGCTGGGTCTGTCCCTGGCTCACAGCCTCCAGGCTCTGGGCCTTAGTCACACATCAGGCCAGGAGGCCCTGCATCTTAACAGTTTTAGTTCTGTCTACAGGCAGATTCTTTGTGACTATAGAAAGGGGTGACTCCTTTCCAAAGATCCTACTGCTCTTTCTGGAATTCCTGCTTTCAGAGTATGGCAGGGCGAGGAGAAGGACCAGGGCTGGTGCCAGGGGTGGGAGCTGGAGCCGAGGTCTCTAAGATGGAATTCCCACCTGGCTGGATGTTCGGTCTCCAGAGTGGATGGCTTAGACTGCCTCACATCTGCCATGTGGGCAGCTCCCACGGCTAGGGGCAGGGGCTCCCAATTCATGTGCTTTTATGGCCTTGCGTTTGGGTCCTGACCTAGGAAAAAGGACCAGAACGTGGAGTCCTCAAGCTTAACCTTGGAGACTCTGGGAATCAGTCATTTGCCAGTCCCCTACCCAGGAGGGCATCTGGCTCCAGGAAGGAGACTAGGACTCTGAAGGTCCTGGGGTCCAGGCGGCAGAGTCCAGTTGGCCGTCCCACTAAGGCCACCGTGAAAGCCCTGGGGTGTGTTTGGCTACCGCTGGCTCCAGTAGGCAGGCAGGGTTCTAGGCTCTGGGAGGAACTGGTGAGACTTTCCACAAAGACACAGTGTCTGGCCTCAGGTGACTGCCCCTTTAGGAGCCCAAGTGCTGGCTCCTTCTCTCCCAGCTTTGCACTTCTCCCTCCTGCTTCCCCACACACTTTTCTCTCTCCTTCTTCTAAAACCTGAGCCCCCGTGGTGGGGCATCCATTCACATCTCCCTCTTCCCGCCCCACCTGGGGCCTCTGCATGACCTTCACGTTAAAACTCACCCACACTCACTCAGTCTTTCTCATCCATGTCCTGCACCCACAGTGGGCGAGGCAGCTGGTGTCAGACCCAGGTGCCCACCACAGGTTATTCTCTTCTAGGCTCAGGGTGTTCTTAGGAGGTCTCTGATCCTAGAGGTCTGGGAGCAGGGGTTCCAGGGATGAGCAAAACCAACACGGTGTGCCTGCCATCTTGGAGAGGCGGATGCTGGGCAAACAACCAACAAAACACAGGGGCTGCAAGGTGTATCCCTAAGCGGGGCCACGGAGCCCTAAGAGGAGGATGTGGCCAAGATGATGGGTTGCAGAAGTCCTCCTGGAAGGAGTGAATATATACTGAGTGGATGGCAGGGTGTTACTGCCTGAGGTGGTATTGGGTAAAGGGTGTTTCTGGCAGAGGGGAGAGCAAATGTGGTGATTCTCTGCTGGGAGGAAGCTTGGCCTACGAGAAGCTTCAAGAAAACCAGGGCCACCGAGACAGGGCAAGGAAGGTGGGGGGATGGTGCCATGAATCTGGGCAGGAGGTGGGGCCAGACCACCCAAGACCTGAGGCCACAGCAGAGATTTAGATCTTGGTCCCAAGAGAGGTGGGGAGCACCTGCAGGGTTTAAATCGGGGGAGTAGCCCCATCACAGTTGGCCTTGGAAAGACCCCACGTGGAAAATGGAATGTGGGCACCAGGGAGGAAATGGGGGCTGCTGCAGCCATCTGAGAGTGGGGCCAAAGGTGGGGAGGTCCAGGTCCACATGCCCAGTGTGTGCCAGGCACAAGGTCACAGAGATGCTCAAGGTACAGCCCAAGCCCTTGTGGGGCTCCTGGCCTTGTAGGAAAGATGGAGGGGGAAAAAATCACCCTCCTTTGCTGTCACACGGCGACAGGCCCGTGCAGAGGAAGAGCCTCTTCTGCTGGGTCCTGAGGGCTGGGCAAGTTGACAAGGCCACAGGGAGGGGCAGGACAGGTGGTCTTGTCGGGGACAGGGAGTGGGGTGGGGAGCGACACCAGCAGAGGCATAGAGGAGGAAAGGGCTGGTACGCTCCTGGAACCACAGAACACCAGTGTTGGCCAGGGAGGGACGGGGAGTGCCTTGCCAGGGGGTCTAAGTCAGTGGTTTTCTTTTTTTCTTTTTTAATGACATAGATCTTGTGTGTCGTAAAACAAACCGTTTTAAAGTGAGCAATACAGTGACATTTATTATGTTTACAATATTGGGCAACCATCACCTCTCTGCTTCTGTCATCCCCCCACCCCAAGAAACCCTGTACCCATTAACAGTCACTCTGTTCTTCCTTTGCCCCAGCCCCTGGCAACCCCCGGTTAGTTTTCTGTCTCTGGATTTGCCACTCCTGGGCATTTCATGTCAGTGGAATCACACAGTATGTGATCTCCTGTGTCTGATTTCTTTTACTCAGCGCGGAGTTTCTGAGGTTCATCTGTGTTGTAGCGTGCTGTTCCTTTTCCTGGCTGAATAACACACCATTGTACGGCTAGGCCACATTTCGTTTATCCATTTTTGAGATGATGGGTGTTTCCACCTTTTGGAACATCACTGTTTTTGTTTTGTTTTGTTTTGTTTTTTTAAAGATTTTATGTATTTATTAGAGAGAGAGAGAGTGTACACAAGCAGTGGGAGGGGGCAGAGGGAGAAGCAGACTCCCTGGTGGTCTTGATCTCAGGACCCCAAGATCATGACCTGAGCTGAAGGTACAAGTACACTTAACCGACTGAGCCACCAAGGCACCGCTGTCCATGTTTTTCTAAATACTTAGATTTCTGGGGTGCCTGGGTGGCTCAGTGGGTTAAAGCCTCTGCCTTCGGCTCAGGTCATGATCCCAAGGTCCTGGGATCGAGCCCCGCATCAGGCTCTCTGCTCAGCAGGGAGCCTGCTTCCTCCTCTCTCTCTGCCTGCCTTGCCTCTCTGCCTACTTGTGATCTCTCTCTGTCAAATAAATAAATAAAATCTTTAAAAAAAAAAAATAAAATACTTAGATTTCTTCTTAGTAGCAGACACATGAAACAATTCAGAACCTCTGTCAACATGGAAAATAGCTTGAAGAGGCACCGTGTTCTGCTGGAGGGGGTGGGGGCCAGCTCCTTTCAGGCTGAGGTCTTTTCCTTAAAAATTCCTTCAGAGGATGCAGTAGCCAAAAGCATCACCAAAAATAACTCATTTGCTCCTTTGTTCCAGAATCATCCTTGGCCCTCTGGCCAGCAGCAGGAAAAGTTCCAGAGTCCTGTGGGTGAAAGATTATGTCCAATAGTGAGGGAATCAGGTCTGGGCTTCGGAGAGGATGGGTCAGATCAGTAGGGGTGAGGCAAAAGGCTAGGAGGCAGAGGAGGGAAGCTGAGCAGGGACCATGGGATGGGATCAGGGAATGTACCTTTTCCCAAGGGATCAGGCAGGTGTCTGCCAACCACGCTGGGGACCCCATCTGTGTTAGAGTGGGTGAGGGGGCCCACGAGCAAGTTCCCACTACTGGCAATGGATCAGCCTGCCCCCAGTGCCTTTCATACTTGGATGGACCTTTGGGAACTCTCAGCCCCTTCTTCACACCACAGCAGCCTGTGGGCTGGCCACCCGCAGTGTCCTGGGGTGTTCCTCAGCTCCTTACACCCTGTCAGGTGTCTCCCATCCTCTACTCAAATGTAGCCCCCTGAGAAGTAGGCAGCCTTGTGTGGTGTGACCACTGTAGCAGTCTGGCTGTTCCTCAGAAGGTTAAACGTGGTCATCACATGATTTAGGAATTCCACTCGGGTACAGACCCAAGAGAAATGAAAACTGTGGGAAACAGGTCCACACACAAAAACATGCGCACGAATGTTCAGAGCAGCATTATCCACAAGAGCCAAAAAGTGGAAACGACCCACATGTCCCCCAGTGGAGGTGTATCCGTACAAAGGGACGTCATTTGGCCCTGAAGAGGAAGGAGGCACTGACACCTGCTGCAGCCGTAGGAGCCTTGAGAACATGGTGCTCAGTGCGGGAAGCCAGACACAAAAGGCCGTACACCGTGTGCTTCCATTTATATGAAATGCGCAGAATAGACGAATCCACAGAAATAACACAGATCGGTGGTTGCCAGGGCCTGGGGGGAGGGGAAATGGGGTGTGCATATACTGCGTGTCTTTTTGGGGTGATGGAAAGTTCTGAAGTTAGATGGTGGTGATGTGAATATACTAGAAATCACTGAAGTGTACACTTTAAAATGGTGAGTGTTCTACTGTGGGACACTTATTTCAGCTTAAAGAGAAGTGCAGCCCCCGAATTTGACCTGGAAAAGAACAGTTGGTTTCTTGTTGGAGTGGTCAGATAGTTTTCACCGAAAATAAAGGTCCAGATTTGAAGATGAGACGGGTTGGTGGGCCACGAAGCAGGTGTAGTGATGGCTTGTGTGTGACAAGTGCCAAGTTACTGGAGGGACAGTGCTGGCCTCTCCTGGAGCACAGAGCCACACGCACCTACCCCCTCCCCGCCTGGGGGTCTTCAGTAGACTGAGACGAGATTAAGACAGCAGAATGTCAGAATGAACGGTTTTGGACATGGACTAGTCGGATGTGGTGATGGCTTTGTTGTGTCCTCAGTGGGCGGGATGCTGCCTGGGATCTCTCAAAGGCCTTTCGCCAGCCACAAGCCGTGGGAGCGGCAGGGAGGCTGGTAGAGAAAGGAAGAGGGAGATCGCTCGTGTAGAGTGGTGCAGGGGAGGTGGTTGCCTGGAGTCTCCCCCGGGTGGCCCAGCTTCCTCTTCTGTCCTTCAGATCCTGGTGAAGACCATGATACGGAAACGCTCCTTCGGGAACCCGTTTGAGGGCAGCCGGCGGGAGGAGCGCTCATTGTCGGCACCTGGAAACCTGCTCACGTGAGTGGCCACCTGCCTTCCTCCGGGCTGGGGAGCTAAGGGCTGAACACAGGGCAGCCCTGCCCAGCGCACCCTGCCCGGGGCCCATCCCTGGAGCTGAAGCGTCTGGAACAACTTAGACCAGGTCTCCCACGCTCGCTCGGGGAAATCAGAGCAGCTGCCTTTGTTTCAGCACCACCACCCCGCCCCACCTGGGCTCGGCCCACCTTTTGTGGATGCCTAACCCATGCTACAGCCTTTCTCCGGGAGACTTGCACTTTAACTGAGGGACTTCTTGAGAGTCAGAATTTTTGTGGCCCAGAAGCATGCATGCTCCATGGTGGGATTATCAGCCCGGCGATGGATGAGCAAGGCCTTTCTCGCCCACGTGACCCTGTGTGTCACAGCAGGGGCACCCTGCTCAAAGTCCCCCTGCAACAGCTCTGGGAAGCTGGTGTTGGGGGTCTGAGTGTCTCTGGGGTGGGGGAAAGGCATCTCATAGATCCCAAGTGTCCCTTCTCACTTCGTTTTCCCTCCCCTCTGGCCATTCCAGCAAAAAACCAACCAGGGAGTGTGAGCCCCTGTCTGAGCCCAAGGTAATGCCTGCCTGCCTGCGCTGTAGCCTCTGCCGGAGCCTGGGGGCGGGGGCAGCTGCAGAGCACGGGGCCTCCCCACCCAGGTGGAGGGTCCTTCCAGCTTGTGCTGCTGTGCCCAGGCTCCCCTTGGGCCTCTGGACCTAGGACAAAAACAAGGGTCATCCAGGGGCTTGGACCCGATGGCGGGTCATGCATGTGGGCTGGGGCTGCGGGTGCATGGCGCTCCACCCGGAATGCCTGTGAATTCACCCAGGTCTCATTGACCCAGTCTGGTACCCACATATGCTCCGGGCACGTCAGTGGCATTGAAGCTATGTCACAGGGTCCCGTGGCTGCTCCTGCCCTGGGGCCATGTGGTCAGAGTGTAGATCAGGCATGCAGTGTTCTGGGGCTCTCCAGTATCCACCCCTTTCTTCTCTGATGGGTGAAGACCTAGAAGATAACTTCCTTTCCCGCCTGCTGCAAATTAGTGTAAGAGTCCTGTGTCCCCGGGGTGCATCTGAATCTTTTCCCTTTGGCCATTTGTCTTCTCAACACTCAGCCTTGTCAGCATTACCAGCATCTCCCAGGACAGATGGGAGTTTTTGTCCCTGTGGACTAATGATAAGCATTTAGCACCCCTGCTGCCTCTCTTCCCTCTAGTGCCTGTGGCAAGATAGAAATTCTAGGATTCCTTCTGTTGAGCTTAACTCACTACCTCGTCCTCAACTGGGAACTCCAGGCAGTCATTTCTGTGTATTTTTTATTAATTTTTTTGACATTTAAAATTTTATAATTGGGAAACCATTTCTATGTTCTAAGAGCAGTTTTACTGACATATAACTTACATATGACATGTAACTTACATAATATGTAAGCTTCACCCATCGGAAGGGCACAATTCAGTGGTTTTTAATATATTCACAGACTTGTACAACTAAGACCACAGTCAGTTTTAGAACATTTTTATTAGCCCCAGAAGAAATCCTGTCTCCCTGCTGTCACCATCAACTCCCCATTCCCAGCGGCCACTAAGCTGCTCTCCGTGTCTGTACAGTTGCCCCGTTCTAGACACTTCATGTCAGTGGAACTGTACAGCGTGTGAGCTTTTGTGTCTGGTGTCTCGCACTCGGCATGGTGCTCCAGGGTTCATCCGTGGTGTAGCAGGCATCAGCGCCTCCTTCCTGTTTCTGGCCAGACGATATTTCGTTGTGCGGGCAGACCACCTTGTACTCCTCCGTTCGTTAGGTGATGGACGTTGTCTCCACTTTGGCTGTCACAAATGCCTGCCGCTACACGCATTCGCATACAAGCACGCGGCCATTCTGTGTGGTGGGAGTTGATGCATGAGATGAAGATTACTGGCCAGCCGCAGCACAGGATCAGGGGCCTGTGGGGGACAGTTTAGGATCAGGGAAAGTGGCAGTTAGCCATCATTCCTGCCAGGTGGTTCCCCACTTATCTGCTGCCTGCTACTCTTTGAGCCTCCCGGGGTGATGGAGCCTAATGGGCTGGACTTTTTCTTCTCAATCTCAAGTTGTAGGGTTTGCCTCGTGCCTGTGTGCTAGTTGGTCATCTGTTTCTTATCTTCAATGAGCTCAAAATCGCAAGGTGCCAGAGATTGGCCCGAAGGGCTTGAAGACTCCTTTATTCCCTCATCCGGAGTCCCAGCAAGACCTGCGGATTACTTCTCTTGCCCTCAGGCTGCTGGTGGGGTGCTTGGCTTGTCTGAGTGACCCAGCACTCTGGAGTTCCCAGGGCTTACTTAATTGTTGGAGGCCTTGGGTGTGAGGCCTGCCGGCTGGCCGCCTGCAACTACACCCGCTGGTCCAAGCAGGCACTTCTAGAGCAGAAATTGAGGACGGGATTGGACATCTAGTTACAGCTCTCCTCCCTGGGAGATTGGACCCCCTCTTCTTTGGCAGAAACCTAAAAGCCAGTGAGCCTGTGCTTCAAACAGAGAGGGGTTTCTTCCTAGGAGTGTATAGACGTCACCCTTTCTTCCATTCTGCCAGGACAGAGTTTCCCTTCTGGCCAGGGACACACAGCAGACAGTAGTGTGGCTTCCCTTAGAAGGGGCCCCTGTTGTTGGCGGTCCAAGTGATTTGGGCTTCTCAAGGATTTTCCTTTCCAGCTCCTTAGTTCAGCCTGTGTGTCCTCCCGGGCACGTCTAGCTGGGGGCATTTCAGGATGTGACCTCTCAGGGACACGGGGATACCTTTCCTCCCACCTCTTTGGTCTCTTCTGCTCTGATCCCTCACATCACCAAGAGGAGGGCCCTTCTCTCCATCCAAGGTGTCCCATGAGCCTGTGTGCAGGTGGCAGTCCTCTCCTCTTAACTACCGTTTTCCAAAAGGCCGGCTCTGTGCCAGGCCAAGCCCAGGTGCCCCCCAGGAAGTTCACCTACACGTGACTGAAGAGCCTTCAACCTTAGCCTGAAGAAGGAAGCTTGGGGTGGGGGCTGGTGGGGAGACATATCAAGATACCTAAAAACCTCCAGGAACAGGCCCCCTTGGTGGCTGCGCCCTACACACGTGGGATGATTTGGGGTGTTACACAGATAGGTTCGCATCTATTTTTATAGTTCCTTTCTATTTTTGGCAAGTGATGCTGCTTTTCCATTTACAGAGGGGGATACGAAGTCTCCTCTGATACTCTTCATCTAGGCAAGAAAAGGGGAGAGACTCTAAAAGGAAAAGCCAAGTCAGTGACGTTGCAGGTGGTGTGGGAAGGTGGGAGACGCAGGTTCAGGCTGGGGCAGCCTTGCCTTAATGTGGGTTTTCTGTTCGGTGAGCAGGAAGCAAGGCAGCGAAGACAGCCTCCGGGGCCCCGACCCACCCCCCGTGGGGGAGGAGGAAGTGCTCTTGTGAAAGGCGGTCCCCGCGCCGAGAGTTGGGGGGCCCCGGCCCCCGGCCCCTGCGCTCGCATGCATCCTCTGCGGCCCGACCAGGCGATGGAGTAGCTGCCCGGACGCGCGACCTCGCATGCAGGCTGCACCCTGCGTTTCCATAGCAGCATGTCCTACGGAAACCCAGCACGTGTGTCGAGCCTTGACCGTCATCTCTGGTGTTTTTGTTTTGTTTGTTTTTCTTCCTTTGTTGTTTTAAAGGGGACAAAAAAAAAGAGACTTGACTCCATGACATCGACCTTGGCCGCTGGCTGGCTGAACGGGCAGGTGTGAGGAGTTGCAGACCCAAAGCCACATGCATTTTGGGACAATTGCTTTTTAAAAGTTTTTATGCCAAAAATCCTTCATTGTGAACTCAGAACCATGTCGGATAATACCAAGTGAATGTGTGTGGGGTTTGAAAATCATGAAAAAACTGGCAGGGAACTCTGGCGGTGTGGGCTGAGACCACAGAGTTAGTTGCTGTGTTTGAGAGGGAGAGGAAGAGGGGGTGTGGCTCCTCCTGCAAACCCCGAAAGCCCCAGACTCCAAGCCCGTGGCCCCTTCCAGGACTGGGGGGCTCACGGGGTCAGGGCCGGGCTGGCCCTAGGAGCTGCTAGGAGCTTTGATGCACCTTATTTGTAAGAAGGACTTTAGACTTTTTTATGGGTAGAGTTGTAGTCTGGAAAAGGGAAAGGGCTTGAAGCTTAGTTGCTTCGCAAAGGGGATTTTCCACCCCTTGAAGGGCGTTCCATGGTAGCTGGGAGACAGGGGGAGCAGTTTCACCTAAAGGGCTGATAGCCACTCACAGCGGGTTTCTGAAATATTAACTGAGCTCTGGTCAGTCTCTCGTTAAAGGACAAAACCTTCAGGGTGAAATCCTACACTTCCATGTACATTACATGGCTTATGAGTAAACAAAATATTTTCGATTCTCTAACTAGACTGAACTCTAGAGCAGTTCAGAGATCATTTAGAGCTTCCAGGATTCTTTCCACGGCTTCAGGCTTGTGATCAGAGTTAGAGCCAATGAAATCTGTGCCTGTATATTAACATGCAGCTTGGCCTGTTTGTAACCTGTGTATCCTAGAGACCGCTGAAGTTTTGTTTTCTCAATTACTAGCTGATTGTTGGTGTCAGTGAAACACTTAGTTTCTGGAGGGCCAGTGAGGAAATACTCTGCTTCAATGGAAACACAAATGATCATCCTTACTGGCAAAGCTCTGTGAGGATCCACACAAGAACTCTGGGGCACCCTGTAGAGAAGGTTGTGGAAACACAGAGCAGTCCTCAGGGTCCAGGAGAACCAGGGCTTGGCACAGGGAGTTCTGTTTTGTAAGCCAAAAGCCCGGACAGAAAAGGCTCACCTTCTTGGTTTCCGACTCATGCTGGGAATTCTCACTGCAGTTCAAGTGTGACTTCTTCCAGAGCCACACATGGCTGAGTGGGAAGTTCAAGGGGGAAGAAAACAGGAAGGCCTTTGGCCTGGGAGATTCCCAGTGTTTTGTTGGTCTCTGGCTTGGGGGAAATGGTGTCGGTAACTGGGCTCAGAGGACATGCTTTCCTGTAGTTTCTGTCTGATCATTGCTAGTAGGACGACTTCTTGCAGAGAGACAGAGGAGTGAGGCCTCGTGCCCCCGCTGCCCAGCGCACTCGTGGAACCTGGGTGTTCTTGGCTTCCACAGACTTTCGTAAGCTCTTGACTGTCATTTAGCCAGACTTTTCTTGCTGCCGTACAGACAGTACAGGATTAAGGAATGCTGGTTTCCAAGAGCAGAGACGACCGTCGGAGGAAGGGTTGTCTGTCCTGCTTGCTTGCCTTTTGTAACCTGGTCCTCCCTCTTGCGTTCCTGCACGTGTTTGTGTCTGCGGATGCCGCCCCTTCTGGGAGCAGGTGGGGTCCGGTTAGTTTGCAGTCAGCACCTTGCAGTAGTTCAAGTCAACCTGTCCTTAGTCCCAGCCTGTCTGTGTGGACTCTGGCCTGGCCAAGCGGCTCGCCCAGGGCGGGCGGGCAGCAAGCTCCCTGCAGAACTCCTGTTTACAGAGCTGCATCCGGCAAGACCATTTCTTCCACCGCAGAACTCGCCACGTAAGATTCCGCATGCGGAATGCCAGCTCTTTAGGTGGGTGGGCTCCTCACTTTTTTTTTTTTTCTCCTCTCCAAAGAAACACCAAAGAAAGCTGTGCAAAGAAAGTGCTTCCCCCAAAAAGTATAAGCAGAGGGCTGTACCACACAGCGGTAGGGTTACCATTCTCTTGGAGCACAAACTTTGGTTTTTTGGAAGCTGGCTCTGTCAGGAAAGGGGAGAAGACATCATGGGCAGCTTCTCCAGGTTAGCAAAAAGGATTCCCTATCAGTTTCTTCCATTGTTGGCTCATCTGTGGGACCAATTCGGTATAAGCAACTTGGGGCCTGCACAAGGTCTTGCCCCATCTTCCTCTGCCCTGTTCCACTCCCCCCGTATCTTCCACAGGCTTACCGGGGGCTTCCAGAAAGCCGTAGCTAGCCCCTTGTTGGCTCTGGGGGCTGGTGAGGCTGTCTCCCTAGGGTTCTGTCCTTTCCTGTGAGTTAGGGCTCCCATCCTCAAAGCCCTTCTGGACCGAGGAGGCAAATACCTGAGCATTTAGATGCATGGGCTCAAACTATTGCTCTCACTTATCTTCCAAAGGGGAGCTTTGCATTGCTGGGGGGAGGAACCATGACCTCCACTTGCTTCCAAGGTGCTAGAGAAGGTTTCAAGGTCGTCGGTTCCCTTCCTCTTTGCAGCTTTATGGGCTGAGTTTCGTGGGACTGCTGACTTTTCTATTCTGTGTCTGATTTAATGCCCGATGTTTCTGTTTTATTCCTGATCCTTTCTACTATGCATTTTCCTTTTATCAGGTGTACAAAGTTAAATACTGTGTATTTATCACTTAAAAGTACATGAATTTAAGAGAAAAATAAGCCTTTGGTGTTTTACCACAGATGTTTAAGCTTCTCTGTAAACTTGAAATAAACAGCAAAATGGTGCAAAGCCTGGGCCTTTTGGAGGTATTTTTGTTGGTCATTGTTTATAGATGTCTGTAGGACATCCGTCCTTATGTGTGTTTTTCTCCCTTAGGCTGACTGTGAGATCAATGGCCCAAGTCAGGGCTAATGATGTCAGCATTACGTTATTCATGTCAGTGTCGCTATGTCCTAGTATCCTGCTACTGAAAGCGTGGTCCCTGGACCGGGATTGTCAGCATCTTCTGGGAGTGGGTTGGACATGCAAATTCCCCGGCCCCATTTCAACAGGATCCCCAGGTGACTCATGACCACAGAAGTCTGAAAAGCACTGCTATGGCAGGCAGGTAATTGCTAGGTTCTTCTGTTGGGAGACCAACTAGGTGAGCCGCTCTGGGAGCGGTAGTAATTCCACACAACACATCCTGTGAGCAGGTGTGTTGTAGGACACATTGCTCTACGAGGTAGGTATTTATCCCATTTTATGGATCATCCTCCGTAAACTGAGGCTCAGTCGTCCGAGGGCTCCAACTTTCAGCAAACGCTGTATTCTACAGAGCTTGGACAACTACCGGTTTTCATGGCGTTTGGAGACTTTTAGAACGGATGCTTCCTCTAGGCTAGAGGCTGGGGGTTCCCTGCACTCCAGATGTGAATCTAGCCTACGGCTTTGCTCTCCTGGCCTTGAACCTTGATTTTCTGTTATGAGGGGACAGCAGATGAAGTTTGAAAGCTCCTTGTTCTGTTGCAGGAATAGAACATTGGGATACTGGCCTTTAAGAGTCCAAGAGTCCAAGACCAATAGGTCTTCCTATTCAAAGACCCCACTGAGAATCTAATGAAAGCTAAAAAATGCACACAGGTGTGTCCCTTTGCAGAATTTTTAGGAGTTCCAGAGATGCCGGAAGCTGCTCCATAGGTGCAAAGGTGAAGGACCCCTACATAAGCAGCAGCGCCAGGGAGGGCCAGCAAGGGGGGACAGAGGTGAATGAGGTGAGTAAAGTGAGCAGCCCCTCCCCCATCCTTCACCCCAGCTGGCCTTAGCATTCCATCTGAGAAAAAGGGAGGCCAAAAGAGGAGACGTCTCCCCACTCCAGTAACCGTCGTGTCTTAGGCTGCAAAATGAAAGCCAGCCCTGAAAAATTCCAGCTCTGCTTGATCTGTGTGTTCAAGCAAGCTTTTTTTTTTTTCCCCAAAGAGGCAACACGAACCAGAGCTTTTTCAAAGGGGTTCAGTAAACGTTTCCCGGCCCCCAAAGCAAGAAAAGCCCAGGTTTCATCCAGCAGAAGCAGGCACTTCTAAAATAAACGTTCCCTTCAGTACTTGGAAATGAATTCGTGATGGGAGGGGGGGCGGCGGGCAAGCAGCTTGCTTTAAGGAGATCCTGAAGACTTGTTGCAGAATTAAATCTGTGTGAAGGCGCAGCTCTAAATAACTTCATTAACATTTCAAACAAAGTAGGTGTAGGTGGTGCTGCTTGTGGCTGGAGACTTCTGGAAAGCAAACGGGGAGGGGAGAAGGATAGCCATGTACTTGTTGCCTTTTAAAATTGTGTCCTCCATAGTGTAGTACCACAATTTTAGGTAAAACAAACAAACAAAAAAAACAAACAAAAAAAAAACCCCAAACACACGTACGGGTAAGATGAGTAGTCAGTACAGGACAAGATCTTGTAAGTTCTGTAGGAACCCAACCTGACCAAGATCAAAAAATCTTAGGCCTTCAAGAGAAGGTCGAAGCAGGGAAAATGCCTAAGCTCCAAACGCAGACTGCTTCGGGAAGTTTTTTCCTGAGCACAGTGAGCTGGGACAACAGATTGGTTTGCTTGTTTAAGTGAAAGGGAGGGGAGGAAAGTTCTAGTTCATGCTATGAAACCACACAAAGATTGAGAAAAGTGTTTTAATGTTTGGTCCTTGACCACCGCAGCGTGCCTTTTCTCAAAGGACACACACTGTCTTGTGACAGCACGGACCTGAAGAGGAACCACGGCCCAGGCACAGCCCGCATGCTAAGGGTCCAGCAACCACACCCAGCAGTCTGTCCTTCCCTCATAAAGTGCTTGACAAGAGACGCTGGGGCTCAGCTGGGAGCGGTCTCACAAGGAGCAGGAGCTGGGAGCCCCCGAAGAAGGCTGGGCTCCGGACGAGGCCCCAGTGGCAGGAGCACCACTGCCCTTGGGCCAGAGGTCACCCCAACACCCACAGGTTGCGGGGTGCTTTGCTCTGCACATCCTACACACAAAACAGCTGGGTGACCATGTCGTTCTCGTGTAGTGGGGATGGATTCAGAATCTGGAACTTTCTCTGAGGTAACACGGCAGCCTTTTCTCCCTCTTGGCTGTGCTCTGATGAGGGCCACAGGGATCCCTGGTGTGGAGGAGCATCACTGGTCCATCTCACTGCCAAGACCCTGCAAAGAATGATATGCTTATTGTTGACTGATATGCTTATGGATAAATGTACCCCCAGCACGTGCTGCACGCAGGTGAGTCTGGAGAATTTGGGGCGGGTGAGAGGCCTTTCAGGCAACCCTTCACAACTGAACATACTCAGGTTAGTCCTTGAGCAGGGGGTCTCAAAGCATGGTGCCAACCCCTCTTGCTATGCGAGGCAAGTTTAAGTAGTGTGGGGTTTTGTCATAATATTCATTATCATAACCTGAGACGTCACTAATTAAGGCTAGATTTTTTTTTTAAGGATTTTATTTATTAGAGAGAGTGCGTGTGAGAGAGAGCATGCACAAACGGGGGGAGAGGTGGAGAGGGAGAAGCAGGACCTCCCCCCACAGCTGAGAGCCCAATGTGGGGCTCCATCCCAGCACTCTGGGATCATGACCTGAGCCACCCGAGTGCCCCAAAGCTAGATTTTAAAAGAGTGAGGGTCTAGAAGTGGAGCAGAGAAGGAGCACTGTGTGGCCACCTGGGTTGACTGCATGCCCAGTAGCACCGCTGTGCTAGGGCCTCGCCCAGTACTCCCGAGTGCTCACCACTGGCATGAGAAAGAGGTGCAGGAGGCAAGGTGCTAGGACCTTTAGGAGGTGACCTACCTGCTCATAATCCTCCACATACTTGTATTTCTTCTCCCGGTAGTAGTTTCTCTTCTTCATGCAGTAGAGGACAATGATGTCACAGAGCACTGTCGCCTGAGTGTGGCAGAGGGTGAGAGAATGAGCCGGGCAGGATGCTTTAGCCGGTTATTCTGTGCATGTCCCTTCCCAGCAAAGCCCGGAATTTTCCAAGGAAAGGCGAGGCCCCAAGGGCTGTGGTCTTGGAGAAGGGAAGGTGAGGTGGGGCTGGGGGCAAGGGCAACAAACCTAGATGATCTGTTCTAGAAACGAGTTTAGGGTCAAGGGGAAGCGCCAAGATGCCAGTGGAGGGTCTCGCCTTGCTGTGCTAACTGCTGCTGCGGAGGCCCCCAGCTCCGGGGGTGAAGAAGCAGTCTAAGTCACTCACCACCCCTAGGAGCGCCAAACCGGAGCCAATGTTGATCATGGTGGGGATGATGTCAAATTTCCCAGCCTGCAAGACAGGAGAAAAAGAAACAGTCATGATAGAGGGCATGAGCAGATAAAAGGTGGGGAGAGGGCCCCCTGTCTGGCCAACCCAGAAGCCTGGGTCTCAGCCAGCGCCCCAAGAGGAGGGGGCGGCCAGGCTACCTTTCCAAACACTATGATGTCGAAGCGGATGCCATAGGCCTTGATGAGCGTGCGGTGCTCGGCACCAGTCGGGTCACTGTAGTACTTGGCGAACCTAGGGAAGGAGGACAGGTGAGAAGCAGATGGGCACGGGGCAGGGACAGACAGGTGGCTGGATTCACCCTCTGGGTCCTGGATGGGGAATATCAGAGCAGAACTTCCCAAGGCACTCTTAACGGATGACGCCTGAGCATCTTGAGGCCTCTCCCAGGCATTGTAGGTCACGTGTGAGGGCTGGGCTGTAGGCAGGGGTGTGCCAGGGCCCATGGGGCACCAGAAGAACTCTTCAGCATCACTGTCACCTCCTACGAGCTGCAACCTCTGACTCTGAGTAGCCCCCATATCACAGCTGAGCCACCTGCCTGTTGCAAGGAGATCTGGCCACTGACAGAATGTGGTCTGTGAGCCCCAAACCCCAGGACTGCCCTGTGGGTGGGGGGCATGGGACTGGCCACGAAACTTCACAGGCCTCACAAAATCTGCACTGGACATCTTTTTAAAGAACCACTGACCCACTGATGGATAAATGAATAAATAAAATATGGCATATCCACACAACAGAATAATTATTTGGCCATAAAGAGAAAGTAATGATACATACTGTAACACGGATGAACCTCAAAACAACAAAACACAATACTGAGTGAAAGAAGCCAGTCACAGAAGGCGACACTGTGATTCCATTTATATGCAAGTCCAGAGAGACAGGAAGTAGACAGTGGTGGCAGGAACAGTTAGGAGGGAGGACAGAGGTGATGGCTGAAGGATACAGGGTTTCTCAGTGAGGTGATGAAAATGTTCTAAAATTGTGGTGATAGTCTTAAAACTTCATGACTAAACACAATTCAGTCCCACACTTTAAGGGGATGAACTACCGTGGTATGTGAACTATTCTCAATAAAGCCATTAAAAAAAGCAAAACCTGACAAGGGGGAATGGAATGGTGGTGGGGGGCAGGGGGCACTGTTGAGCCATGAGGCCATTTGCTGCCTGTGTTATACAGGACATTGGTTCAGAGAAGCCTGAACTCGTGGTCCATGATCGCTCTGGCTCACGGCATCCACGTCCTGGTTGGGATTCAGGTGGGGCCTGATGCTAGTGGAGGTCGGGGGGGCATCTGGTGATCCTTCTGGTGAGGTCTCCCATCAGCTTCTCTGCCTGAGGTTCTGACCCAAGCTTGAGGTTTTCCACAGTGGTTTCTAGAACTGTGTAACAGTAGAGATAGAGCAACACAAATCTAATTTTTCTCTTCGGGAAAAAATTCAAATAGCTCCCCTAGTATCAGTGAGCCAAAATGATAGCCGACTGCAGTTCCAGGCGGTTCTAGGATCACAGGTGTCTTTGATTGTTACATGTTACCACTAGAGGGAGACAAGCGCAACACAAAAGCCCCTCAGACCTCCTTGGGTGGCCCCTGGCAGGGCTGCTTGCTTTAAGAGTGGCAAAATGCATGGAAGAGGCCGCAGAGCACCCACAAAAATGTACATGGCTAAGGTTTTTGCTGCTTCAAGGAAGTGGCAGACCTGACCCTGGCCCCTTGGTCCTGCCATCAAATGACCAGCTCTCCTGGGTTGAACACTGTCATCCAGGATTTGAAATTATGAACATGAAATGCAAGTAGGGAAACAGTGTCTTTGCAGGTAGAAGGAGTTAAGCTGAGCCCATACTGGATAAGCGTGGACTCTGATTCCATATGACTGGTGTCCTATGAGGAGGGGACCCACAGAGATGTGCCCAGAGAGAAGAAGGCCATGTGACAAGGGTGGCGGAGATGTGAGTGATGGGTCTATGAGCCAAGGAACACCAAGCATCACAGGGAGACACCAGAATCTGAAGAGGCAAAAAAAAAAAAAAAAAAAGGTGCTGGCTTTGCTGACACCTTGATTTTGGGCCTCTGACCTCCAGATCTGTGAGAGAGTAACTTCCTATTGTTTCAAGCCACCTACTTTGTGGAAGTCTGTTAAGGCAGCCCCAGGACACATATATGGTACTTTCAGCAGGGAAATACCAGTGAAGGCCTTTCCTGAGGCTTAGACCTGTATCTTCCATCAGACCTGGTCTTTGAGAAACTAATTCCTGGGTCTTTGGACCAGAGGATAACAAGCTCACCCATTCCTCAAAATCAGCGAGCAGAGGTCCTAGTTGAGGCTGGCCCCAGGAAGCTCCAGCAGCCAGCCTCTCTCAGCTGTTGTGCGAATTGTCTCAACATGATTTCTGAAGTAAGGGGCACAGGAGGCTTTCGGGGGCCAGGAAAGCACAGGTATGAGGCTCTGCTGGAACACTCTCCCTGGCACCCAGCCTTCCCACCTGCCCTTGGGCGGGCCGAGCGAGTGCTGGTCTTTGAAGGGCAGGGACGGCCCACTGGGGAGTGATCCAGCTGCCGTCACTCCCGTCCCCACACAGGAGAACTGGGGCCCAAGCTCACGCCTACCTGAAATTGTAGCCAGGGGACACATTGTGGTCCACATCCCGGGTGTCCAGGCGACGGAAGGAGTACCTGGGCAAGCAGAGGGAGGAGGTTCTGTCCAGGTTGCAGTTCCACTTGATCTGGATACCCATGATGCCTCCCTGCGGGGTGTGAGCAGAGAGAGCGAGCAAGCTTTCCTTGGGGCCCGTTCTAGAATGACGTGTGTTGAAGACTGCGTCAGAGAAGCCAGGTGCCCATGCCTACCTCGATGGCCATGTCCTGGAAACTGTGCCCTGCGCTCTCCACTATTTTGCCAAGACGGAATATGGGGCAGAAGGGATCTGTTACAGCGTCATAAATACATGATTTGAGGTAGGTAGTGGTGATGTTGGGAAGAATATTCCTCCTAAAGTCAGGAAGAAGCAGAAATGAAGTGAGGAAAACCTCAAAGAAAAGCCAGAAGTCACTCTAAAACATTGGGGGAACTCACGCGGCCGGCCACCACTTACTTGCTGAAATTAAATTTCGGGTACCAGATGTTGTTCTTAACCAAAAGGGTGAAGTTTTCCGCAGCCTTTAAAAAAGCTGGTCTGGAAAAAAAAAAAATCATAGTGTATTGTTAATAAAACACACATATACATATACTCACTTCCTTGGATAATATTTTTAAAAAGCACATGCACGTGTGCCTTACAATGTCATCTTCTCAAGAAGAAAAGTGAAACATCTTGAGCATTTTCTACTCTCTTCTGCATAAACACTAGGTCAGCAGGGGAGACTAAACCAAGTCTTTCCATTTCTTCCTCTTGTGCCTCTTGCCGAAGGCAGTGGGAGTTTAAGAGCCGGAGGAATAGCTAAGGAGGGGTGGTGCCCAGTGGCCTCCCAGGGAAATTATTCAGCCTGCAGCTGGGGGGGTTTCAGAGCTCACCTTCCTCAGGTGTTCTCGGCAATGCTCCACAGATCAGGTTTTTCAAGTCAAAGCAATGATAAATTCACCCACAGAGTGGATCCTGACCTCATCTCCAAAGTACTTAAAAATCACGTGTCTGTTGGCGCACGGCCTTGACTCTGAAGGGCCACGTCAGCTCCGGGCTGACAGTACAAGGTGCATCTGTCTCCAAGGGGACCCCACTTCTCTGGTTGGCTTCTACAGGAGAATCCGGTGCTGTACGCAGACCCCTCTGTGTGTGTGTTGGGGGGGCAGCCCTGGTCCAGGTGGAATCTTGGAGTTATAAACAGGACCAACAGTCTTCTCAACCCTGAGACAGAAGCAAGGCCACACAGCAAAGAGAGCCCAACTTGTCAGTGCTGATGCCAAGAAAGGCCCTGACCAAGGCACTTTTCCCAGGGCTTCAAATCCCCTCATTCCTGTATCCAGAGGGATGCTAACTACTGCTAGTTTTTCCTACCACTGTCATTCCCTATACTATAACTTTCCCCCACATCTGTCTACCTCATGTGCCAAACTTTCTTTTTAAAGATTTTTATTTTTAAGTAATCTCCACACCCAATGTGGGGGCTCAAACTCATAACCCCAAGATCAAGAGCCGCGCGCTCTACCCACTGAGCCAGGCAGGTGCCCCTCATATGCAATACTTCTAAGGCTGATTCACTGTTTTTTTTAAAAAGAAAAAAAAGGTGAAATTCACATAATGTAAGATTAACCATCTTAAAGTGTTTAATTCGTTGGCATTAAATGCATTCAGGATGTGCAACCATCTCCACCATCTGGGTCTAGAACATTTCCATCACCCCCAAAGGAAACTCTGTACCCATTTAACAGCGGCTATCTATTATCCCTTCCCCCCAGCCTTTGGGAACCACTCATCGACTTTCTCTAGATTCGTCTACTCTGGATCTTTCTGATAAATGGAATCATACAGTATGTGGCCTTTTGTGTCTGGCTTCTTTCACTTAGCACCCCGTTTTCCAGGTTCATCCATATTGTAGCATGTAACACTTTATTTTGTAATAAAGATTTATTTATATAAATAAATATATATATATTTATAGACCTATAAATATATCTATATATATATATATCCATCCCCCATAATGTCTTTGGACTCTGGAGTGCATTTCTTTAAAAAAAATTTTTTTTTTAAAGATTTTATTTATTTGACAAACAGAGATCACAAGTAGGCAGAGAGGCAGGCAGAGAGAGAGGAGGAAGCAGGCTCTCCCTTCGGAGCAGAGAGCCCGATGCTGGGCTCGATCCCAGGACCCTGGGACCATGACCTGAGCAGAAGGCAGAGGCTTAACCCACTGAGCCACCGAGGCGCCCTCTGGGGTGCATTTCACACAGAGCATTTTACTTGGATCCAGACACATTTTGAGCGCTCAAAAGCCACCCATGGCCAGTGGCACTGATGTTAGCGACCACAGCTCCCTAAAGCAAAAAGATCCTTCCTAAAAGGAGGATCTAAAAGATCCTCCTTAAAAGGAAAGATCCTTTCCACCTAAAAAATCCTAGACTCCTTTTCTTTTTGTGTTTCCTTCCCTAGTCTGAGCTACTGCCCTCAGCAGTCTTGCCATCAGAGGCTCTCATCCATTTTTTCTCTTGCAGTACAGCCAGGAGGGGGTTCATGGGGCTCCCTGCACCCCTGGCCTCATCCAGGCCTCAGTCTGAACTCTGGGTAAGGAACGCTGAAGTTGCAAGTGGTTCTGGGAGCACAACCTCTAACCCCCTACCCCAGTCAAAGCAGAGCCAATTACTACTGGGCAGAATGTTTTATTTTAGGGCACCCCTGAACCTGCTCTACTTAATATAACACATTTCAATGGACATTAATTATTTTCTGGCCTAGCCTCTGCTTCCTTCTTTTCTGGTAACAGAACCCCCTATTTCCTTTGGAAGCCCCATCTCACTACTCTCAGGGGGTATTCGTTGGGTGGGACTGACTCCGCCTTAGCTCCGGGTAGGGGCAGGTGACTTGGCCTGAGATGATAAGCAAAATCCACATTCCAGCCACAGTGACAGGCTGCAGGATGTGTTTGAAGACATGATGATGGACAGATCTAGAACCTCAATGGACAGCTGGGCTGGGAGACTTGGGGGAATGTCAGTCCAAAGGCACCTCTGGGGACTACACCATGAGTCTTGCGAAGGAAGCCAATACGAGGGGAAGCAGAGTCAAAATCTGGAGACTCTGAAGCTGTCCTTTGAGCCTCAGGTCCAGTCGTGCTGGGATCTTCCTAGTTCGTTAAACCATAAACCGGCCCTGCTATGTGTGTGTCATGGGTGAGGCACTGAGAACTGTTTCCTGGAGTTACTAAAAAAAGACAGAGTCCAGACATAGGAATCAATCATCTGCACTCCTACGACAAGTGACAAACACTGTGGCCCACCTTGCCTCTAGCGGTTGTCTGTGGTCCCCACCCTGGGGAAGCCTGACTCCACACAGACACCAAGAGCACAACACACAAGGCTTAACTCCCCCTGACGTCTTTCCTTGGGTAGGACTCACTCGGGCACGTGTGTGTCATTCTCCACTGGGCACCAGGCTGCCACCTCGCATGTCTTCACAGTCTCATTGAACGGCACACATCTTCCTGTTGCGATTCCTGCAGGGGTAAGGGGGACCCAGGTCCGTGGGGCCTCCTATTTCCTACTTCGCAAGGTATAGAGTGGGAACACCACCCCAGCGTCCTGTGCAATCAATCCTGAGCTATTCCAACTCTGGGGTTTATACAGTTTCCAGAAATGCGAGGAAAATTGTTGCCTGAGTCTAGAAGCAGGGCAAGGGCAGTGCCAAGCCACAGCACAGGGCAAGATCTGGGATGATGGCTTCTGGGGCACAGGTGACAGGTGAAGGTCGAGAAGATCCTGGGTCCCTAATCTGAACACCAGGCTTCCTTAGGGTCAGGTGGAGGAATTGGGGATGTGGGAGATTTCTCTGTCCTGAGAGAAGCCCCACAGGGGAGGCCATCTGGTCAGGGGCTGCCCATCCCAGGCTAAGGTCACAGCTACGTGCTCATACCGCTGCTGTGGGTGCCCGAAGAGCCAGCAACACAGTTGGCATCTGAATTACAAATAGTGGTCTTATCCGGAAGCTGGAAAAAGAAGAAAGCATGACAACAAATTCCATGTGGTCAGTCAGGTGTGAGGACAGGGGCCTGAGGCTCAAGGCTCCTCCCTGAGAAGCTGCCTACCTCAGGACAGGAGCCCTGGCTCTGGTTCTTGGTGATGATCATGTTGGTCATGACGAAGAGGGAGTTTTCCTCCTGTAGAGGGGAGACAGCATCACTCCGTTACCTTCAGAGGAATCAAGCCGAGCCGCGAAGAATGCCAGTCATTCATTTCATAGGACAGCACCTTTCACTTCTCCCACATGCCATGTCGAGAACAATTTAAAAAATGATTTTTGATCTCTTGTTCTCTGAGAGCTTATAACCCAACTGAAGACAGGATTCAAATAAATACTTGTACCCCAGTCCCCCTGATCTCCAGAGGATGCCTGAACACGACCCTACATATGCTCCCTCCTTCCTGAGATGCACATACCCGGTATAAAGTTAAATTATATACTAGACACAGTAAGAGGTTAACAACAATAACTGATGCTAAAATAGAACAATTAGAGTAATCTGCTGTAATAATTACATGAAATGTAGCCCCTCTCTCTCAAAAGACCTATTGTGCTGTACTCACCCTTCTTCGTGTGATGAGAAAATGGCTGTGTGGTGAGGGGAAGGGAGGCGAGGATGCAGTGTGGGCCACTACTGACCTGAGGACAGGCCAGGGGAGGAGCAAGTGTTTCCAGACTGCAGTTATCTACGGGTAACTGAACCTGTGGGGGCGGGGCCTACTGCTCACATGTTTATGGCAGCATTATTCATAGTGATCCAAAGGTGGAACCAACCCAAATGTCTGGTGACAGATGAATGGGTAAAGAGACTGTCTTTATCTATACCTGTGCGTGTACCTATAATGGAACATGACCCAGCCATAAAAAGGGATGGAGCCCTGACACACATTTCAACGTGGATGAACGTCGAAGCTACGACGCTAAGTCAAAGAAGCCAGACACAGTAAGGTGGACACATTGCATGATTCGATTGTTATGAGGTTTCCATAGAGACACAAAGTAGACGAGTGGTGGCCCTGGAGGTGGCCTTAAGGCGGAGGGTGGGATGAGTGATTGCTTAATGGGTGTGGGGCTTCCTCGAAAATGTTCTGGAACGGGAAGGAAGTGATAGTTGCATAATATCGTGAATGTACTAAGTGCCGTGGGATTTTCCAATCTGAAATAGTTAATATTATGACATATGAATTTCACCGCCATGGAAAAGGAGATGTCGATCACCTGAGGTGGTTCCTTAATAAAGATTGGTTTGTTGAGGGAAAAGAGCCAACAGGTACGCAAAACAGCCTCCGCCAAGCAGGTCACCTCCGAGGGACAAAAATACAAGACCACCAAAGTCCCAAATTTGGCTGGTTTTCTTTCCTAACTGAAATTAAGTTAATAAAACATTCTAGAGAAGACCCTGTCAGGGTCAGTAACTGGCACTTCTCTCTTCGAGAAGGTTCTGTTTTCTCCTACCAGGAAGGTGCCAAATGGTTGATTTAAAGTTTCTGGAGCGCAAGTTCACTGGGGAATGAGACTAAAGAGTTGATCGCTAAGGACCTTCCAACACCAGGAGTACAAGACAAAGACGCCCCAAAACTCTAGGTGGACCTCCCCCTCACTGAGCCATGACATTCTAAAATGAAATGCCAGAAGCTTTCTCTCAGCATCTCAGACTCCGGGAATAGTGGAGATAGCCCCGTGAGCCATCTGGGGGATCAGGGTAACTCAAGGATCAAAGTGTCTGTAGACATCTCCTCAGGTCTGATGAGGGGGAAGCTCTGGAAATGGCTGGCATCTTCCAAAGAGAGGCCTAGAACAAGCCATGCTGGGAGACAAGGAAATGACCCCAAGAGGAAGCTTGAGGATGTGGCACAATGCCTGAGTCTCTCTCCTGGCAGCCCCGTCAGGGTCCTTGGTGTTCCCGCAGACACATGCTCTTCACCTGGTGCTACAGAAGGCTGTTCCTGTGACTCCCGAGATAGATGTGAACGATTCAGCAGGCTTTACTGTTTTTCCTATTTCTTCTCTATTTTAAGCTTAGGGAAACTTCAGTCTGGAGATGAGCCAAGTAGAAGTGGGGCAAACAGATGTTCCATCTCCGGAAAAGCAGGAGGCCATTGTGAAAGCTCATGAAGGGAGCTCTGGGGCGCTCACGGAGCCCTGGGCCAGAGCTGAGCTGGGAGGCGGGGCTGCTGCCCGTTCCTTCCCCCCTGAGGGGCAGAAGCAGTGGGCCCACACTCTTCCTTGGTCCCAGTGAACAGACTGAGGGTGATGGCCCCAGAGCTCGGCAGGACGAGGCTGTGGCTTCATAGGAAGCAGTGATCTCTCTGTTGACACAGGTGCGTGCCAATAGGACCACCCACCTCCAGCAAACTACAAATCCCCTCTTCCATTTGACCTTCATTGCTCATTCACTCAGTCTTCCCTCTGGGCAGCCCGCAAAACCCTTCTCTTGAGAAAGCAGGGGCAAGACACAGTTGAAGAAAGAGTTTCTGAAGTCCTTGTTTTCCCCAGCCAAGCTCTGAATCAAGAGAGATCTGGCCACCCCAGTCACCCTAGCACGGGAGCCATCTGGAGGGAAAATGGCAGGGTCTGGCTGTGGACCACAGTCATTACTATGGCTAAAGAGAGTCAATATTTGACTTGAAGCTTTGTGGGTTAACAGATTGGATATTAGGATGCTATATCAAACGCTTTCTTCCCTTCTCCTTTGTTTCTGATGAACTCCTATGCGGGTATGTCTGTTCCCTTCTGGTTTGGCTTTGGTCTCCCAATTTAATTACTGACCAACTTTCTACACAGTCTGATTTATCTTGTGGGCTAACAACAATAAAGCACATACGAAATGTAAAAAGGCAATATTTCCACCTGAATTTTTCCCAAGATTTAAAATATTTGCTTTTCCATCTTTGGGGCTTGAGACAGACTAAGATGTCTGCGTCTAAGCCAGCCATGATTTAAAGCAAAAGAAACAAGGCTGGTTGAATATTGTTTATTAGACCTTAAGGCAGAATGAGATTCTTCTGCACTGCTTTCTCGGAGTAGGACAATTAGTCTGGGCCCTGGTGATATTAGAACTCTGCCAATCATTAATCAAGAGTGCAAAGTCTGTAAAGGGAACGGAGCTAATCAGAAGCTTTGGTGTTATTAGACAGAAGCCACGGTGGGAGTCATACCTGAGCTGGAATCACATAATCTGCCACATCCCAGACCCGGAATCCAAGTGTAGAAGTGTTGGTTACAGTCACGCCTTTGGCTTTGGTAGTAACTGAGCTGACCACAGAATCTGTTTCCTGGTAGCCTTTTTCCCACACAAACACCCACCTACAAAATAGAACAGGCCCCTTAAATTGCCATTAGAATTCTGTGAATTTGAACTGATGCTAGGGAGCCTCTGATAGCCAAAGGCTGATAGTGTAACATTCACTAATCAAATGACTTTGCAAAACTGCTTAAACTTGGGAGACTCCATTTCTACTTCTGCAAAATGGGTGTAAAACCCAAACCATAGGGTGGTTTGTTGGAGATAAATGAGATGACACAGGTAAAGCACTTGGCACAGTGACCAGCACAAAGAAAGTACTCATGCAGTCTTTATTAGACATCTGAGCACTTTCAACACACTATGACCTGCAGAATTACCCAGAGATGATAAAAATTATGATAATAGTTACCATTTGAGTGTTTTCAGGTGCCAAGTACTGATCCAAGCTCTATATATGCATTAACTAAATTCTGACTACTTTATAAGGTAGATATCATTATTATTCTCTAGTTTTACAGAGTAGGAAACAGACACAGAGAGGTTAAGTCACTCGCCCAAGGTCACACAGCTAGTGAATGACAAAGTCAGCATATGAACTCATGTCTTTTGCCTCTGAAGCCTCTTTTCTTGCCTTGTATGTTATACTCCCTCTAGAAAAGAGAATCTCACTGCTCAAGTGATTTTATACTTGTTTTTTACTTTTTCTCCAAGAATTCAGGTCACATGTATGCTTCTCTTCTCTGGGAAGAATTGGAGGCATTACAACCAGTCTGAATAATTAAAAAATCTAAAGGCATTAGCGCATAGTGGTTAGGACACTGGAACACAAACGGAAGCCAGCGATCATGGTTCATTTCTCAACTGCACCATTAATCAGGCATAACTTTGGCCAAGTTGTTTAATTTCTCTATGCCTCAGTGTTCCCCATCAACAAGATGGAAATGATAATAGGATTTCACAGGGTAGTTGTGAGGTTAAATGAGTTTTGCATATCAGATGTTTAGAACAATGTTTGTGTTGCCATTATAGACTGAAATTGGCCATGATGGGAGTATTTACACCATGGAAATTGGCCAATGCTATAAATCAGAACTCCTTCCTGCCAGAGCTGTTATTAAACACCTATCAGCGACTATTATTGTTGCTATTATTTCTAGAAAAAAGAAACAAGCATCCTTCTCCTCTCCCTATAAGCCCTAGCTGCTGAGATTTCAAAAAATCACTGGTTTTGGTTACTTATAAGTTAGTCTGGTCTGAGCAGTCTCTATATTGTCCATCCTAGAGACAGTAAAGCCTTTTCTTCAGGGGTTCCAGGAATTTAGCTGCAATATAAGATTTCACTTAAGTCTATTCAGGCACACAGAAACTTAGGGCAGGAAGGTTTCTATTATTTTACCATAGTGTGCAGTGAGTTGCTACAGCAGAGACACATGGTTTTATGGGAATCACTATGTTATTACCTATTTACTCACATGACAGATAACAGAATTAGATAATGGAGAAATGCATGTTTAGTCTAGGAAGAATTGGATTAGGAAGCTTTGAGATGAGTTAAAAAAAGAAAAAAGAAAGAAAGAAAGAAAGAAGCCCTCAGAGTTCAGATCCTGAGTCAGTTTTGATCACAGGAAGATGGATAAATGCAAAGCATTTACTGCTTTATAGATCCTCATGATCAAAGTAGCAAACACTCCAGGACCCCTAGAAAGCTGTGCTGCCCAGCAGAAATAGAACACAAGCCACATACATAGTGTACTTTCTAGTCGCCATGTTAAAAAGAAAAATAGATAAAATTAATTTTAATGATAGATTTTATGTTATCCAATATATCCAAAACATTTTAACATGTTGTCGATGTAAGATGTATTAATGCGATATTTTAATTTTTTGGTTGTTTTACACTATGTTTTTGAAATCCGGTGTGTATGTTATGGTGATAGAGCATCTTGTTTTGGAGTAGGTACATTTCAAGACCTCAAAAGATGCAGGTGACTAGGGGCTACTGTATCATACAGTGCAGCCACAGACACTTCCTGTAGGCTAGAACTTTAAAGATACCCTAAGATAGGGTTAAACTAATCCTCCCCCTAGTATCAAAAGCCAAGAAGAAATAGCTGGGAGCCCTTCATTCTAAATACTTCCAATCCGACCTAGCAATGCGAGTTTAGTTAACCAGTTAGTTGCAGGTCTCAAAATTTAAGGGGGCATCACAATCACTGGGGGGCAAGAAGTTGGTGGTGGTGGTACTTAACGAGACTCACTAAATCCAAACCTGGGAGTAGGCCAGGTGGTTCTGGTGTACAGCCCATACGTGTGGGAAGCCACTTCACTGAATCCTCTCAGAACTCAACCGCTGTTGGGCTGATGGTGTTAGAAGCCATACCTGCCTGATGATGTGAATTCCGTGGACAGTGTTAACATTCCAAGCCCTGCCCCAGGGTGGAGGACCTGTTACTCTATACAATTCCTCAGGTGAGTCTTTTGTGATCAGGAAGGTTTAGGAAACACTAGGACATTGGTTCTCAAACTGCTCCCCATCAGAATCGCTTGGGGAGTCAGTCATACTCCATAGCCAATTAAATGAGAAGGTCTGGGGATGGGAGTCAGCAATCAGTACTTTTAAAAGACTCCCCAAGGTTCTAATGCACAGCTGGGGACCACAGCATTAAGCCTTTTAAGAAAAGGAATGCCAGAGCAGGTAACATCTGTCAGCTCAGCAGCTCTAGATACCATTAACACCCCAGGTGGATCTTGAAAGTGGGCCCAGTTAATTTCTACCTCCTCCCGAGTTTCATTAAATTGTAACGGGTGGGGGCACCTGGGTGGCTCAGTGGGTTAAGCCGCTGCCTTCGGCTCAGGTCATGATCTCAGGGTCCTGGAATCGAGCCCCCCATCGGGCTCTCTGCTCAGCAGGGAGCCTGCTTCCCTCTCTCTCTCTCTGCCTGTCTCTCTGCCTACTTGTGATCTGTCTCTGTCAAATAAATAAATAAAATCTTTAAAAAAATTGTAACGGGTGCGCTCAATTAAAATTAAGCATTTGGTGAGGGGACAGAAGGTGGCAGGATATATGGAAGTATAAGAGGGCAGCATGGGGGACGATGAAGGTAAGGAAGGTACCTAAACAAAAAACCCTAACAACTCCACAAAACGAAGTGAACTAACTTTATGTGCTTTTTAGAGTGTGACCTCTTCATCATCTTGGGTTACCACGCGATACTTAAAGGAAAGGGCCGGAAGCCACTGGCCCAAAAGGAACCAAATGCAAAGTCCAAGCCTTGGTTTCTGTATGCAGATCATCAGAATGGGAAGTGAAGAGCAAAGACTGAAACGGGCAAAGCCAAAGGACAGCGTGGAGCAACTCAGGGAACAAGAAGCAGGAAGGGTGAGGATGGTCTAGGCAGGCTTTGCTCTGAAAATGCACAGTGTGAAAGCAGTCTGCTGCCCGGGAGCCCGGCCCACCGCCCGGCCCTCCCGGGACCAAGATCCGGGGAGGCGTAGTCATCCGCCTCTGGTGGCCGCCCCTCGGACAGCGCCTGGAGGCCGCCTGCGGGGCTCGCCTGGTGACCTAGGCCAAGAGCAGCATGTGCACGGCCGGGACCCAGAAGGGGAGTTCCTGGCCGTCGCGACTAGTCCGGACCCCCGAACCCCTCGGGGACAGCGCCCGCGGCCGCGCTCACCCGATGACGTAGGCCAGAATGAGCAGCTGCACGGCCCGGTTCATGAGCCCCACTTTACGGCTGCGGATGAGCACGATGCGCGGCGTGTCGTACTCGAACAGGAAAGAGGCCAGCCCCACGCACCAGCCCGCCATGGCCCGCTGCCGCCGTGCCGTCCGGCCCCGCGCTCTGCGCCCGGTGTCCCGGCCCACCGCCTGCTACGCGCGCCCGGGAGCCCCGCCCAGGCGGCCCGCGGCCCGCTACGCCGCTACTCGTGTGGGAGGGCTCGGAAGGAGGCGGCGCTGAGTCTCGGGGCGGGGGCCGGGCGGAGGCGACGTTCCCCTTGGGTACGAGCGGCTTTCCCGGGGTGGGGGTGTGGGACCCGTGAGGAGGGAGTGAGCTCTGCCTTGAGGAGGAGTGACCTCGTCATTAGGGCTGGCGAGAACGAGCGACCCCCGCAGATTGCATTGGCTCCACCAGGCAGGGGTGACCTCCTCCCTGGGGACGAATGACCCTCTGGAGGGCCGGGGAGAACGAGTAACCGTCTTAGTGGAGATAGAGCCGTCGTGGAGAGTGACCGCTCCCTTAGGAATGAGTTACTACTTGGGGGGCTAAGGTGGGGGGGGCTACTGAGCTACTCCTTTAGGTGGTCTAGGAGGTACGAGTAACCTGTGGGTGGGGGGACTGGGACAGCTTAGGAGAAAGCGCAGCCCCTCGGGCGGTCCCAGCTGTGCCTTCCCAACCTCTGGAGGAAGAACTAAATGTCAGGTGTCCTAGGAGCTCTTGGCTGGAGTCACACACCTTTTACAGGGGCCCTCTGGGAATTGAAGCCAGGCTGCAGCCCTACTCCCAATCCAGATGCTTCCTTAGTTACAGGATCTGGGAAGAAGCATCCTGAGCCAGGGAGGGGTTTCGGTGGCCAGCCTTTCAACTGAAAAAGTTTTATCACAACTTTAGGGACAATTGGAAAATGAAGGGAAGTGGAGGAAACACCCACAGTTCCACTCCTCGAACATAATTTTCCACGTTTGTTCATTCCCTTTCAGGTATGTTTTCAAAGATATATTTTATATTGAGTTTCATTAATGCATTCAACACGTATTAATAAGCACCTTCAATATGCCAAGCCCAAACAGCCTGCCTTCATGGAGTATAAATCCTCATAGGTAGATGTGTAGAAAATTTTAGTTTGTAAATCACAGGCAATGATCATGTTTTTTCCTGACTCATACTACTCGTATTTCCTGTGTTCTTGGAGACTTGTCATAATGATCATTTTAAACAAATGGAGTGTTTCTTCCGGAGGGTATGCTGTGATTTTCCTAGCCGTTCTCACCTGATTGTTTCTAGTTTGTGGAGCTTATGCATAATCTTGGATAAAATATTTTAGTTCATTTCCTGGATATGAGGTTCCTAAGCCATACCACCTTGTTTTTCCAGATTAAAAGTGTATAATAAGAGAATTTGAAGGAAATAGACAGCACCTCTCTCTAGAAATGGAATTTTGAGTTAGAAGAATAGAGCTGCCACCTTCCTCAGTCCAAAATGGTCCTAGGAAAAGGTGGTGATTTTTATTCATTCAGCAGATGTTACTGAGCACCTGTTGTGTGCTTGGCAGTATTCTTGATGCTAGGGATATGAGGGTGAACGGGCAGATGAAGTCTTTGCCAATGTTGAGCTTGGTGCTGTTGGGAGGGCTTAAATTCTGTGTAGAAAAGGAATATATAGCTGCTTAATTCTTATTGGAAGGGGACTTAAAAATGCTTTCCTTAGGAGCCAAACTCAGTTCCAGCTTTTGTTAATGTTTATCCTACAGTGATGAGATGGTCTCAGCGTTACAAATCTTGAATTTAAATGGTTTGCGTGTGTTTTCTGGGTGCCTGGCTGGCTCAGTTGGTAAGCATGTGACTCTGGATCTTGGGTTTGTGAGTTCAAGCCCCATGCTGCGTGTAGAGATTACTTAAAAATAAAATCTTAAAAAAAATAAGTGGTTTGCTTGTGTTTTGGAACAAGGCAGGTAGGAAAAATGTGTAAGTTTTCCGAAATGACTAGTTGGTATTATATCCTTAGGACCAACAAGAGAAGCTGATCTTGAAATGATTAGGAAAAGAAAGTTATTTCATTTATATTCTTGCCCTTTATCTGTTTTTAAAAACAGCTTTCTTTGAGGTGTAATTGACATATAAAAAACCACATACTTAAAGTGTACAATTTTATAAGTTTAACATATATATACACATACATATACACATACATGCATACCCGTGAAACCATCACCCCAGTCAAGATAGTGGAGATAGTGGAGAGATAGATAGAATCTCTCCAGTGTATTAGCCAGAGTAATCTTAGTTTGTATAAAGTAAAAGTAAATGCTGATTACAGCTGGGACTTTTCACAAACCTACATTTTTTTTTTTCAGGCAGTGAGTAAAGAAATTTATTATTTTTAAATATAAGTCAAATACAGAAAGGCTCGAATGACAACCTAGAATGTATTTTATAAAAAAGCTTATAGTAACTGATTTACATTAAAAATACCATTATAATGGACAAATTAGCTTACAATTAAGTTTTTTAGGGAAGAATATACTTTGGATGTTAAATAGGATCAAAGCGTGGGATACTGTAGAATATAAAGCAGAATTAAAGGGAAATACTCAAAGAGAAGGGAAAAGCTGTCCAACTAGAATGCATGGAGAAAGCATCCTGTGTCTGCTCCCAGGCTAGAGCTAAGCAGCCAGAGTGAACGCTCAGCACACTCTCAAGGAAGCACAGTTCTGCCTTGCACCAGTGCCAGCTGTCACCAGAACAGTGACAGAGGCAACTGGAGGAAGAAGACAGGACATTCCTCTCCCAGCAGTGTAACACCATCACAGGAATGGGTCTATCCGGACAGCTGACTACTGCTGGAAAACAAACCTACATTTTTTTTAAGTGAAACAATTATTTTTACAGATTAAAAGACCATCTTAATTAGGAAAATAAAACATATTCTTTGTAACAAATGCAAACAATACAGAACTGGATAAAACAAAAATTGGGAGTCCCAGACTCTTCCTACAGAGGTAGCTTCCATACTTTTAAAGTCCCATTAAGAAAGAAAAATTGGTGCCAATTCTTTTTTGTTATTTCTGATTTTTGTTATACTTACTGAAAGAATCTGGAGAATCTGGAGAACATGATGCTAAGTGATTTCCTTTGGGGGCATCTGGGTGGTTCAGGTGATTAAGCATCTGCTTTCAGCTCAGGTCATGATCTTGGGGTCCTGGGATGGAGCCCCATGCTGGGCTCCCTGCTCATCAGGAAGCCTGCTTCTCCCTCTCCCTCTGCCATTGCCCAGGCTCAGGCTTGTGCATTCTCTCTCTAATGAATAAATAAAAGTCTTTATTATTATTTTTTTCATCTTAACAAAGCTGCTGTGTGGATTTTTTTTATTATGTTCAATTAGCCGACATATAATACATCATTAGTTTTTGATGTGTTCAACAATTCATTAGTTACGTGTAACAGCCAGTGCTCATCACCACATGTGCCCTCTTTAATACCCATCACCCTGTTACCCCACATACCTACATCTTAATCACATTCAGTTGCATATTTGTCATATGCTTAACTGAGTGTAGTCAGTTACTGAAACCATGGGAATTTGGTTTTTAAAAAATGAGATTTTCAGTAAAGGTGCCGAGACAATTCAATGAGGAAAGAAAAGTCTTCTCAATAAATAGTGTTGGAACAACTGGATATCCACATGCGTATGATGAAGTTGGACCCCTGTCTCTTATCATATATAAAAATTAACTCAAAATGGATCAAACATCCAAGTGTAAGAGCAAAATTGTAAGGCTCAGATGAAAACACAAGTATGTTTTACATAAGTATTTATACATAAGTATAAATCTTTGTGACTTTGGATTAGGCAGTGGTTTTTTAAGACATGACACTGAAAGCACAGGTGGGTGACAAAACAAAAAATAGATAAAATTTAAAACTTCTGTGCTTCAGAGGACACCATCAAGAAAATGAAAAGGCGGTCCACAGTATGTGAAAAATACTTACAAATCATGTATCTGATAAGGGTCTAGTATCTTAAATATCTTGAGTAAGAGTCTTTAACTCTTTATCTTATTTATTATTTTTTTTTTAAGTAGGCTCTATACCCAATGTGGGGCTTGAACTCATGTCCCTGAGATTGAGAGTCACATGTTCTATCAACTGAGCCAGCCAGGTGCACAAAGAGTTCTTTAACTCTTCTAAATAATTGGTAAAATGACAACCCAATTTAAAATGGACAAAAGATTTGAATAGCATTTCTAGAAAGATGATACACAAATTGTCAATAAGAATATAAAAAGGTGTTCAATATCCCTCACTAGGGAGATGTGCATCGAGATCACAATGAGAGGGGCGCCTGGGTGGCTCAGTGGGTTAAAGCCTCTGCCTTCGGCTCAGGTCATGATCCCGTGGTTCTGGGATTGAGCCCTGCATCGGGCTCTCTGCTCAGTGGGGAGCCTGCCCCCCCCACCTCTGCCTGCCTCTCTGCCTACTTGTGATCTCTGTCAAATAAATAAATAAAATCTTAAAAAAAAAAAGATCACAACAAGATACCACTTCTTCCGCTAGCATGGCTATAATTAAAATGAGGGACAGTCAAAAAGATGGCGAGGCTGTGGAGAAACTGGAAGACTTACACTGCTGGGAAAGTAAAATGGTGCAGCCCCTGGCAATTCCTCAGAATATAAAACAATCACCATGTGACCTAGCAGTTCCATTCCTGACTATACTGTACGCCCAAGAGAATTGAAAAGATACGTCCGTGCAAAAACTTGTGCGTGAATGTTGACAATGTCATTCATAATAGCCAACAGGTGGAGATCACCTAAATATCTATCAGCTGATGAATGGAAAAACAAATGTGGTATGTCCAGACAATGGAATATTACTCAGCTGTAAGAAGGCAGGAAACACGGATACATGCTGCAATGAGCACGTATCTGGAGAACATGATGCTAAGTGAAAGAAGCCAGGTACAAAAGGCCACGTATCACATGATTCTGTTTGTATGAAATGTACAGAATAAGAAAATCCATAGAGACGGTCAATTAGTGGTTGCCTAGGGCTGGGGGAAAGAGACAATGGGGACTGATTACTAATGAGTACGAGGTTTCTGTTTGGTGTGAGAAAATGTTCAGGAAATTACATAATGGTGGTAGTTGCAGAATCCTTGTGACTATCCTAAAAGTCACCTATCTGTACATTTCAAAAGGGTGGCTTTTATGGTGTGTGAATCGTATCAAATTAAAAAGAAAAAAGAAAAACAGAGAGTAGATCATCAAGGCCTCAGAAAAAATGTGTGTACGCAATAATGGGGCCAAACCTCATGTTCTTTCTTCAGAGGGGAGCACCTCAGACCCTTACCTAGAGCTGAGCTTTTCTTTCTTTCTTTCTTTTTTTAGATTTATGTATTTATTTGAGAGAGAGAGAGAGCAAGAGGACAGGAGTGGGAGGGGCAGAGGGAGAGGGGAAGAGAATCTCAAGCCGACCTTGTACTGACACGTCCAGAGCTGAAACCAGGATGCTTAACCGGCTGTACCACGCAGGTGCCCGAACAAAGTTTATGTTTAATTTAGATTAAGTTCTAACATCTGGATCATCTGGTTCCTTCGTTGCATACTAAGCCAGTTTATCACAACACTCCTCTAAAAACTGCCCTCCCTCACAGAGCTGGCCCCGGCAGCCAAGGTTATACTATGTGACCTTACCAATTGGGCCACACAGGGAACCTAACCCAATTGGATTCTCTCCTCTGGTACTATGGAACTGGGAGAGAAGCAGCCCTTTGTTCTCTGCAAATGACTAGAACTGAGTTGATGTAACCTTCTGGTTGTGGCAGAGTCACGTCTGTGGATTAGCCCAGCAGGGGAGTTTGCAGAAACAAAAAAGTGAAACAGATAGACAAAGGGACACAGAGGTGAGAGTGACTAAGAAAATGGCCTTTTCGGTTTCTAAGGAGTTTCCATTTCCTGCTTCTGCCCCCTTGGTTTGCTTTG